CTTTTTTTTTGTTTTTTTTTATCTCTTTGTGTCTTTTTTTTTTTTTTCCCGCCTTTACCCAGGTCTCCACGCGGCAATGCTGGAATGTGAGAAAGAGAGTGGATGGGGTGGGAGAGGTCTAGGCATGTCGCTAGAATGAACTTGTAAATTTATGGGCTTTTTTACACAGGGCTCCCACTCTCCACAGACATTCGAATCGCCGCCCTGGATGTGTGAGCAAGTCTAAAGGTGACCCCTGAGACCCCCCCCCCCTCTCCTCGCCATTCTCCCACTGTTGCTGGGCAACACCCAAGAGAAAAACACAGCTGTCCAGGGCTCAGCTGAATCGTCCATCTTTGAAACTGGAGGGAGACGAGGCGAGGACTAGACAGTAAGTTCCTTCAAACCCCATAATGCGCAGTCAGTCAAAAGGTACACACACTCCTAATAAAGGCACACTCTGTCAAGACCATCTCGAGTCAGCATTCCTCTACACTAGCGTGTCTAAAAAGAGATCTTTACAGAAGCCTTGTACTGAGTGGCTGTGGTATATTACCTATGTAGGTGGTATAAGTATCAGGTTCCACCAATGCCAATATGTGCAGAATTTAAAAAACTTTCCTCCCCCTCTCACATCTCTCCCATCTTATAGCATTGCACGACGCTGGTGGGTGACAAGCGCCAAAACTCTAGAGACGGGCTCTTTTCTAAGTGTAAAGTGAAAGCAAAACTAGCAGGAAAAGTAACGTGTAGTTATTGTCACTGTTGAAAAATGCAAAACTAAACTGTTGTCGTGTAATAGCAATTGAGGTGAAAGATGACTCTGTGTAACCCGTCATGTCACAATAATCGAAAGGTGGACGATAGCGTGACAAAGCTCTGTAGCGATGCCGTTGGTCACTGTAATGGCCGTTCGGTGGTGGGGCGAGTGGGAAGGAGACACGAAGGGTAGGAATGCGTGCGCGGGGAGTAGGGCCGTGGGGTGCGCTGGGCGTGTGTGCAGCAGAGTGTAGTGAGGGGGCGGAGTCATGGGGTGGGCGGAGAAGGGGAAGAGTCCCGGTGGTTCCACTTGGGGTGGCGCGGAAGGGGGGTAAATGTGTGGCCACAAGTGGTCTGGGTTTCGAGAGCGGTAAACATGCGGCCTGCTGGGGTAAGGGTAGACCCCTGGTACGCTGTGGTGGTACGGTCGCGGTGCCCTCCCCAAAATCCCCGGTCCCCCTCCCCTCCCTACCACCGGCGAGTGACTCTGCGAGGACAGAGGAAGAGGTTGGTTTGACTTGCTGTCAGAAAACGACTGCCACAAACTGTCGCTTGCAGACCTCTGCTTCGCCTTCTTAGTTGACGCTTCCGGGGTCGTCTCCCTGCTACTAGTACTGGTACTAGTCTCCCTGAAACTTTCAAACGGCAAAGCTTCACCATGATTACCAGGAGCTAAACTGACTGGAGGCTGTGCCACAGGAATGTTTGCGGGAACCTCTGAAGGAGAGGGAGCTTTCGACGAAGGCTTCGGTCTACCCTGGGGGATTGGGGCAGACATGAACTCCTGGTGAGCCGAGGATAGGAGATCCAGGAGCTCTGCGTCTGAAACTGGAGACGACCTGTTCTTTGAAGAAGAGGGGGGAGACGAGCGAGCGGGTACAGATTCTGTTGTCGAGTGTTGAGAAATGCTCAAGGTTCGGGGATGGGAAGAAAACATCTGCAGCACAGGAATTTCGGTAGAAGGTACATGTTCTCTCGGCTGCGGAGGTTGTGGCGATGTTTGCCGAGTCAACAAGCTCTGACTCTCCGATTGGTTAGTAAAGTCGGTGGAAGACGGTACAGGGATGCTGGGTGGTGACGACGCAACTTTGCTCACCTCAGTCTCCTCGCCTCTATTCATCCCGATCACGAGAAACGGGTGGTCAGGCGGTGTTTTATTCTGACGCTCTTCTAAGGTCTCGACTGGTTCTTCTGACGAAGACAAACCCTCAGCATCAGAGACAAGGTCCATTGATTCTTCTCCTTCGCTGGAGATGGTGAGCATTTCAGCTGTTGCCCACGGCAGACGACGAGAGTCATTAAATTTTCTCGTGGCAGGGGGAGGAGGCGGAGGGGGAGGAGAGGGAGGAAGGGGAGGAAGGGGAGGAGGGGATGGTGGGGAAAGGCTTGTGGTTGGAATTTTGTCAAGAAGAGAGGAAGAAGGGAGGTGAGAAAGTGGTGGATTAGCGTTGGACAAGTGTGGGACGATCTCAGATACTGTGTCCGTACCCTCAAGAACACTGTCAACGACTGCCTGTTCCGAGACTAAGGTGACAGCGTCAGGTAAGTGTGACACCCTCTCAGATGGACCAGTCTCAACTGATACTGTGTTTGTACCCCCAAGAACACCATCAATAACCGCCTGTTCTGAGACTAAGGTGTCCTCTGGGACTGAGGTGCTCCCTGACTCCTCCAGAACGGGTTCATTCTCTAGTGGTTTTGCACCCGTCTTCTCCTCAGACTGGCCAAGTGAGGCAGTGGGGGTTGCGACGGAAACCGAGACAGTGGACTGCCTCAGCAATATCCGCAATGGCATCTTTGGTGGTGCTGCTATCTCCAGTAGACACCTTCCGTTCCGTACACAGTTCCCAAGTCTCACGGTCGGCTTTTCCTCCACTTTCACCCAAGGAAGACGACTCGCTCTTGGTACCTTGCGCGTTAAGCTGTCGATTCGCACTGAACGTCGTCTTCTTTGGTTCCTTTCACAATCATGAGATCCAATTCCGCTTCCTGGTCGCTGTCTGTCTCGGGGGCCGAACTGAAACTTGCCTCCAACCGCAATATCATATCCTCCTCGTTGACAGAGCGTGGGGAAGTGGTAGTGGAGAAACTTCCACCTGTAGCTGGCGAGGCCTGGGGGCTGTCCAGATTCACAGGGGATGTGGAAGGGAGGTCGAGTAGTGAGAGGTCACCGTCACCATTCTTCCTTTCGGAAGCGGTATCTTCGTTGTTGCAACTTTCTGTGTCCGTAGCTCTATCTTCCGTCACAGACAACGATTCCGTTCTCAGGTTAGTGCAGCCTTCTGAAGGAAAACCTTCATCTTCCGCCAGAGAATCAGTAGGATCAGCGGTTACGCTTTCTGAAGCATAAGCTTTATGTTGTGACAAGCATTCAATTGTGACACCGATGCAACTTCCTAAAGCAGTAGCTTTATCCTCTGTTGTCAAGGATCCAGTTGTCAGGCCAGGGCAACTATCATCCGTCAAAGTCTCAATACTGGTGCACCCTTCAGCTGATGTTCTAGCTCCTGTCAACATTTCTTCAATTGAGCTACCTTCCGAAGCTGTAACTTCCTCAGAGTTAGTTGTTGATTCTGTCTCAATGGCCTCTTCTGAAGCTGCCTCTGTTACTGGAGCTTCACCCTGAAGGTACTCCTCTATATCCTCATCCAAAAAACTGGTGCCCGACTTCTGGTGGCCTCACCTTTCTTTCTCCCTCTGGCCGACATGGCGAGGCTGGCCTAGCTCTCACACCCTTCAACTCCATGTCCATGCAGGGGGAAACCTCAGTGGCTACCGTACCATCAGTGGATACTGCTGGCAGGTCAGACTCAAGACTAGGCTGAACGCAGGGGAGCGCATGCGGTCCAGAGAACTCCACTTCCATGAAAACATCATCGTTTTCTTGTGTGCTCCCACCAGTGCTCCCCTTTGCCTCTTCTGCTACCTCCTTGAGCGGACCGACTTCTGTCACACTTTCCTGCTCTTTCTCAGACGACACCGACTCTTTTTCTGAAGTCGCCGAACTTGTCCACTTCATACTGAACCTAGGAACACAGACAATCAGCGACATTTCTCTGGGAGGATGGGGCGACTTTGATGCATCTTCGCTCCTCTTCCCACAAGATCTCGACCCCCTTCCTGCCCTTGAGCGGTATCTGCTGCTGGATTTAGGTGGTCTCCCGCGTGGTCTGCCTCTACGTGCTGGAGTGGGAGCGTCTGAAGGTGGATGGATTGGTGATGTGGCGAGTTGGTCAGTCACTTGGATCGAGGACAGAACCAGTTCAGTGAGCTGGGTGGGGGAGGGTGCGATGAGGGGAGAAGTGGGTGGGTCTAAAGAGTCGTGAGCAGAAGAACAGCTTTGGCTTCTTGTCCGTGGACGGAGCTTGCGTTCGGCAGCGGTGGGTTGCCTGTATCCACTGCTATTCCGTCTCCCTGAGCGGCGAGCGCGAGTCGAGCGGCAGCCCCTCCTCCTCACTTTGCTCCTTGGAGACACCGAATGGAGGTTTCCTCCATCCTGTTTGAATTCCTCTTCACTGGGCGGAGTCTCGTCGGCAGTCTGAGTGGAGGAACCCAACGGCAAAGGGGTGGGCCTCTGGACTCCATCAGGGGGCGGGAAGTATTTGAGCGGGCGGAGTTGCAGACGGCGGGAAATGTATTTGGGTAGCAGTGGGTTGAGCACTGCTAGCGGGGGAGGAGAGAGACTGGGGCCTGGTGAAGTCACTGAACTATCTTCTGATTGACGTCTCTCTCTTTCTTGAGTACCCTGTTTTGGCTTAACTTCACTGGGAGGCAAAGTAACTCCTTGCTCTGCCTTGTCCAGAGTCTCACCAGTGTCGTTTGCACTAGCAAGCTCGCCTGCCTGTGGTGGCGTGTCAATGAAATGTATGTAAGTTGAGGTTTGCTCATTACTGCTTCCCGAGAGGAGGTCCTGGCCAGTTTCGCCTTCTGAGTCCAAGATGTGTACGTGTGGGAGTGTGTTCTCAGACTTCAGCTGAGTGACAGAGTCTGGAATTACTTCTGTCACTTCGTAGAGGATTTGGGTGTGCTCCATGGGATCTTGCACTACGTCCATGACGTGGACGTAAGTGGGTGTGGTGGGCGTGGTGCAGTCGGGCGTTGCCAGAGTGTCAGGGAACACCTCCGTGACTTCATAGGCGATGCGGCTCTTTAGTTCGTCCTCAGCTCTCTGTGCAGCTGCTTCTCCCTCCATCTCCTTCATGATTCCCTTCTCCAACTCATCTGCAACCATCTCCCTGACCATCTCCTCTCTGCTCGCCTCCTCCTCGATTTCATTCAAGACGATCTCCTGCAGTTCACCCACTGCAGCCTGTTCCTTTACAACCACGGCCTCTGCTTCCCCCAGAAACTCCTCCTCTACCCTCTTTGCTGCTACCTCACCCGCCTCCAAAACCATGTCTTCTTCAGATGCGACACATTTGACGGCTGTCTCACCGAGTATGTCCGCAAGAAGCAAACTTACAAAGTTATCAATTGCCCTGTCTTCCATCTCTTCGGCCATTTTTTCCTCAGTGACCTTAGCTGCAAATCTTCCTTGTGTAGCATCTACTGTTTCTGTCACAACAATCTGTGAAATCTTTCCTTCGGCTCTCAGCACAATATCATCTTCCTTATCGGCTTGTTCATTGGCTAGACTGTTCTCTGTGCCTTCCAGCATACCTTCTACCACAAGGCCAGCAATCATCCCTTGCATAAATTCTCCCACCCTCTCTTCATTATCCACCACTTCCTCCACAACCTCACCCAACAAATCTGAGAACACAGCTTCCAGAAGTTTCTCTGCGGTCTTGATTTCCAGGTCAACGACGATGATGTCGTCGACAAAATATTGCAGCATATCTTGCGATACTTGTTGTTCAACGTTTTGGACGGCTTTCTCCTCCAATTCATTCAGAGCTTCAGCTTCATTCAGAGCTTCTTGCAATACTTGTTCTTCAACATTTTCGATGGCTTTCTCCTCCAATTCATTCAGAGCTTCGGCTTCATTCAGAGCTTCTTGCAATACTTGCTCTTCGACGTTTTCGATGGCTTTCTCCTCCAATGCTTCTTGCAATACTTGTTCTTCGACATTTTTGATGATGGCGATGATGTCGTCGACAAGATATTGCAGGATATCTTGCAATACTTGCTCTTCAGTGTTTTCGACGGCTTTCTCCTCCAATTCATTCAGAGCTTCGGCTTCATTCAGAGCTTCTTGCAATACTTGCTCTTCAGTGTTTTTGACGGCTTTCTCCTCCAATTCATTCAGAGCTTCGGCTTCATTCAGAGCTTCTTGCAATACTTGCTCTTCGACATTTTCGATGGCTTTCTCCTCCAATTCTTCCAGAGCATCAGCTATTAGTTGCTCAGAAAATAATGACAGAGACTCCCTAAGTAGTGTTTCTACAAGAGCTTGGAGGCAGTTTTCAATCAGTGCATCCGTTCTTTCTTCCTCTGCTTGTGCTAGTTCAAAAGCAATGTGTGACTGAAACTCGTCTAATACCTCGGAAACAAGGCTCTCCATTTCGAGAACGATCTGTACACTCACAGCTTCTTCTGCCGCTGTTTCGGTCGCTACTCTGATCAAATCACCCTGGACCGTAGCAACTACTTCGTCCACCATCTCTTCCATTGCAGCCCCTACAGCAAGGGTTTCTTCACACTCGCAAACCAACTGCTCACCGGCCTCTTGCTCTACGTGGATCACAACAGCATCCACCATCGTCTCGGTAGCACACACTCTCTCTCTTGCAACTGCCACCTCAGTTTCCTCCAAGAGCCACACCAATACCTCCACCATTACCAAGTCACACACTTCTCTTTCCAATGTGACCTCCATTGCACACTCATGAACCAGCACGTCTTCTATTGCACCAGTGGCTTCTTCAACCAACTCTGATTCTATTCTTACAAACACCTGTTCCTGGACAGCTGCCCTCAGAGCCTTGGCTGCAGTCTCCCGCACCACTTGGCTCTCGACGACCGAAACTGCCCTCTCTTGCAGAAATTCCTCGCTCTTGGCAGTTTCCCTGACCTTTTTCTCGATCTCTTCACCCACCGCCTTGCGAACCATTTCAGAGATGACTGTTTTTTGCATTGACTTTACGGCTTCTTCCTGAAGTATCTCCTCTGAATGGACCAGCCACTTCGATTCCTTAGTTGCTTCCTCATCTGTCAGTTTGGCTACAGTATCGTAGACAATCTTAGACTCAACGGCGTCCAGCACTCGCTCTTGAAGGACATTCTCTGCTCGAATCAGCTCAACCACTTTCCCCCCAACCCCTTCCTCCAGAGCAAATCTTACAACTTCCCCAGATATTGTATCTTCTACTGCCTCTAGAGTTCTCTCCTGGAGGACGTCTTCAGCACACATCAATTCGGTGACTTTCTCCTCTACCGCAGTGTCCACAAACTTCCTCACATTCTCCCGAACTATCTTATCCTCCAGTGTATCCAAAAACCTTCCCTGGAAAATCTCTTCACCCTGGATTCTTTCCTCCACTGCCCTGCCCACCGCGTCCCTAAACACTGCCAATAGAGTGTCGCCAGCTGCTTGAAGTTCAGCACTTTCTACAGCACTGTCTATGAGGCTCTCTTCAGAAGGGTCTTTGCAGTCCGTGGCATCTTTCTCGTCCTCTTCCATTGCTTCAGGCGGACTTCGAGTTTCACTCTTGCCTGCACAGACCACGTTTTCTGCGTCTCCTTCAACTGGAGTGGGCAGCGATTTTTGTGAACCGGTGCGGGCGGGTCGAGAGGGCTGGAAAGTGGAAGAGGGAGGAGGACCAGGAGGAGGAGGTGGAGGGTTCTTTAGGGAATATGTGGAGCCATGAGGGATAGGGACCACGGCACCCCGTGGCGAATTAGAGGTGTTGTCGGTGGAAACTGCCCAGGGATGGATCCAACTTGTGTCGCTCCCCTTTCGTGCCTGCATGTGCCGGTGAAAGTTGAACATCAACTTTTTCACGTCCAGTTTGGACCGCTCCGTTGCCTCAATCCTCTCTCCACTAGTACCGTTGTCACTCTCAGAACCCTGTTCCGAAGGAGACTTATTGGGCGAGTCTTTAGCAAGTCCACTCTTTTTCTTTGCTCTCACCATTGCAAGTAGCTCGTCTTTAGTAAGAACAGGTCTCTTCTTCTTCAGCACGGCGCTGCCGGGCGGCGAGTGGGAGATGGAGCGATTGGAAAGGCTCTGAATGTCGCTGCCTGACAGCGACCTTTCAGTAGGGCTACCAGCGGGGCTCGTTCTAGCCACTTTGAACGGCGGGAGGGAGAGAGATCTCAAATAACACTCGTCCTCTTTCGTCTCCCCTTCTTTCTCGCCTCTTTCTTCCTCCGCCTCACAAACCCTTTTCTTTTCACTTTGTGGCTTCGACAATGGCGCGGTTTCTGAACTCTCAACACTACTCTCTTTATGAATAGCGGGAGACCCAGATTTCTCATTGGACTCTGCAGTTAATTCCTGATTGTTGCTCAACTCTGCAGTTGATTTCTGATTGCTGCTCTCATTTTCAAAAGCCTGCATAGTTGGGACCACAAGCTTGCTCTGTGTCTTCTCTCTCCTCTTGCCCGATGTTGAATAAGGGCTCGGGTCCCTCTGTTGTGACTTTGCCGGTTTATACCTCTCCTCTCTAGTTTTTCTGGATTTCTTAGGTTCTCCTCTTGCAGTGTCCTCTTTTTTGTCGGCACCTTTTCTTGGTCGCAACTCTCTCCTCTCACTTCTTTCTGAGCTGGAGTCATTTTCATAGCCACGCTTGTGTCGAGAACGGAGCTCCCGTCTTTCTTCCTTCCCACTCGACTCGCCCCCCTCGGGCTCCGACCGTCTCCTGTGTCGAGTTTCGTATTTGTGTCTACGTCTCGAAGAGGAGCTCTGGGACTCATCAGACTCCGTGTTGTGGTCAGTTTTAGACTTGTATCTCGTGCTGCTGGCCGGCCCACTCGTAGCAGACCACTTCCCTGGTCGCTCGCTCTGTTTCATGGACCTTCTCGGGGAAGAAGAGCCGGACTTACTCCCAGCAATGTCCTCCACAGAGGGACCAGTCCTCTCGTCCATCTCATATCTGTAGCTGGCAGATCTGTGCTTTGCCCGTGTCTTTGGTTGGGATGGTGACTCAGGTTTTGTTGCTGCTTCAGTGGCTGGTAATGAGCTGGATGACTTGCAAGGTGAAAGCAAAGGCAAGTCATCAATTCTGGTTTTCTCAGACTTGCCACTGCTCTCATGTGGATCTTCGCCACTAATAGTGTTTTGCATGCTTTCTGTGGCCCCTTCCTCTTCCATCTCAACATGACTTGGTTCTTTAGCTGTTGTTTCGAGATCAGTGGAGTGCTGAAAACTCTTCTGAGAACAATCCATTAGTTGTTGGCTCTCGGTTGTAACAGCTAAACAACCCTCATTCTGCCTCGTTACTGTCTCCTCCTCTTGCTTTCCTTTTCTGTGCAGTCGCGTTTTCACCCGTGGCTCGATTATTCCCCTGTTCACCATCATCTGGTAGCAGCAGTGGACACACATGCCTCTCCCCTTTTGAGCTACCAACAGCACTCTTTGAAAACTGTTCCTCAAGTATCTGATCAGCAAACGCTTCTTCATTCTCGATCTTCTCATCCGAGGTGTTGTGCTTGTCTTTCTTCAGTTCTTTTGACTCTGAGTGCTGTTTTTCACCAGTAAGTAGGTCTCCTTGTACTCTTGAGGGAGGTAGAGAGGGAGGTGGAGGAGTGGCAGAGGGCACCAGAAGTGACTGGGGAGGGGGTGGGGGAGGAGAGGGTAACTGGGACTCTTCTTCCTCGGTACATTCTTCTTCGCCCGATTCGAGAGGATGAGAGGGAGAGTAGAGACGGTTCCCTTCGTCGTCGGTTGTCAGACTCTTCCCAAAATCACTGGGCGGCGAAGGGCTAGCGATATCGCTCAGATCTCCATCGCTGATGTTAGAGGCTCCAGACACAACGGGTGAAGGAAGTGCAGTTGGCTTTGGACTCAGAAAGACACATCATTTCCTTCTTCGTTGACTTCGTTCTCGTCGCAAGACATGTCGACCAGTTCGTAATCCGACGTTGTCCCGGTGTCGGTCGAGAGGGAGGCTTGTCTCAAGAGGCAATCTTCTACTCTAGTGACGATGGCGTCAATGGCTGGGTAGGTACACCCAACAGTACCCAGAACTCTCTCCAGAGTGGCTGCCAGGGAACTACCGCTGGCATTGCCAGAGGTGGTCTGAGTCCCCGTGGCTTTGACTGCTGGTTGTGTCTGAGTGTATGTGTTTCGTGTGGGGACTGCAGCAGTCTGAACATACCTTAGAGACAGAGAGAAAGAGACAGTCAACAGAATACCCATGCATGTACTAGCCTTGCGCGTGTCTACGACTTTCATCTTTCTCAACTCATCTCTTTCCCGACTCTAACGGAGCCATACAACCTCCATGTGCATATACATGTATACACTATTTCGTTAGGTGGGGATCCTTATCCCATCCACGCATGAATTTATGCCCTTTAAAATCGAACAACTCTAACCTACGGAGCTACCCACTGACCTGTGATGAAACTCAGGTCTGTCCGCGATGGTGTTTGTAGAGCTGTCTTTGGTTCTGGCTCTTACTTGAACTGCAGTGCACCGTAGCCTGAACCCCTTGCCATCCTGAGTCCCCTCTGATATCATGCGCGGGGGAACGATTTGAACAGAGGCATCGCATTTTTTGACCGTCGTCCGTTTTATCAACTCGCTGATAATCTTGAACTGCTTAGCATCCAACGGTTTTGGGTTGGCATTCGGCAAATTTGAGCGCGAAGGAAAAGGGGCTGGTTCAGGGGAACGAGATTTCCCCCCGCGGGGGGACTGCGGAAGACTGCCGCTGCGGGTAGGGGAAACAAGACGGGGGGAGGATGCTCGGCGTGGTGGGGAGAGGGACCGGCGAGGGGACCCGAAATTCATAGCTGGGGGGCGGAGAGGGGAGGGGGTACGGGGTGGCGGCGGGGGAGGCTCTTCGGCAGGGAAGAGGTTGTGCTGGGCAAACAGGCTTCCGAACATGCTCCACATATCTGCTGGAGCTGGGGGAGGGTGTGGGGGAGGAGGGAAGGTGGGAGCTGGGGGTTGATGGTGGAACGGGTGAGGAGGATGAGGGAAACCGAGGAACGGTTGGGGAGGGGGAGGCTGAGGAGCGAGTGCTGGCGGTGGGAGACCGAGGGAGAAATGGGGCCTCGGATGAATGGGAATATTGAACCTCTGCTGAGCGGGAACAAAGGGAGATGAGTGAGTTGGGATCGGCTCACTGAAGCTGGGTGGTTTCCAAGACTCGACCGGCTTTCCAATTTGTCTCGCCAGTCTCTTCTCCCTCTCCTGTTTTTTCTCTCTCCTCGCACGCCAAACTTTGTCCTGGTCCTCCATTTTCTTTGCCCACTCCCTTCTTCTCTTTCTCCAGTTCCCTCTCTGTTTCCTCTTGTTGTTTCTCCCTACTACCACCTGACAAACGCTGCTCCCTCTCCTCCTCCCCTTGGCTTTTTGCACTAACCTCCATCTCTGTGTCTCTCTCAGTTTCATTCCCACTCTCCGCGGCCTCTTTCTCCAACTTCTGGCTCTTCAGTTCACCAGCTGCATCAGAAACAAGAGCGACATCATCGGACACTGGACGACCTCTCTTCTGCCTTTCTTCATCAGGCCATTCAATTAGACCTTCCACATCTTTACCTACTGGTGCTTCCACTTTGCTAGGAGATGCAGTCAATTTGCTAGGAGATGCAGCCACTTTGCTAGGAGATGCAGTCACTTTGCTAGGAGATGCAGCCACTTTGCTAGGAGATGCAGTCACTTTGCTAGGAGATGCAGCCACTTTGCTAGGAGATTCAGCCACTTTGCTAGGAGATGCAGTCCACTTTGCTAGGAGATTCAGCCACTTTGCTAAGAGATGCAGTCACTTTGCTAGGAGATGCAGTCACTTTGCTAGGAGATGCAGTCACTTTGCTAGGAGATGCAGTCACTTGGCTAGGAGATGCAGTCACTTTGCTAGGAGATGCAGCCACTTTGCTAGGAGATGCAGTCACTTTGCTAGGAGATGCAGTCACTTTGCTAGGAGATGCAGTCACTTTGCTAGGAGATGCAGTCACTTTGCTAGGAGATGCAGTCACTTGGCTAGGAGATGCAGTCACTTTGCTAGGAGATGCAGTCACTTTGCTAGGAGATGCAGCCACTTTGCTAGGAGATTCAACCACTTGGCTATGACATTCAACAACTACTTTTCTAGGAGAAGTTGCCACTCTGCTAGTAGTTTTGGCCACTTCCCGAGATGGTTTGACAACTATTCTAGAAGAAGGTTCAACCATTTTGGTACCGTCAGTAGAAGTTGCTGGTTTCTCAAGAAGGTGCTTCAACGCATCTGTCTTTTCTGCTCCTTTATGTTCTTGCTGTTGGAAGTGTATGGCAGACTGCAACTGCAAGACATGACTAGTCATCATCAAAGCAACACTGGAATCCTTGGCTCCAGCCTCACTCCGTGACTGATTATCTCTCGTCTTTTCTTGCTGTGTATCTTCCTTTCCCATGCCAGGCACCTTCTCACCGGTACCAACACCCCCTTGGGTTAACTGTGGCAAGTCTTTTTGCTTCACTTTCTGATGCTCTACCTCCGTTTCTTCATGTTGGGGCTCTTCAGTCGACTGCTTTCTCTTTCCCTTCATCCTCTCCTTGTACTCCAAAAGACTAACTCGTCTCGGAGGTCTTGGGGGCTGGAAATAGGGGTCAGAATCAACATCCATCAGGTCTGAGGACTCCTGGTCGCTCTGCAGAGCAGAGACCACCTCCTCTTGCACCTGAAGATCTGGCTCCTTCATTTCCGCCTCTTCTAGAAGCGGCTGCGGCTTACTTTCACTTTCAGCACGACCACCATCGTCAGTAGTGACCGTCTCCATAGTAACTGACGTGGAGGTCAGATGGGCAGTCTCCACAGTTATTCCGTCTTTCCCGGCGGTTCTTTCTCCTCTTTCTTCTTCGTCTTTGTCGGGAATGGTGGGAAGTTGGCTTGTCGGTCGTTGTTGGGCTGACAGTTGCCTAAGAACAGACACCCGCGGCACTATAGAACTCATTGGGATCTGGACCTAAACAGAGAATAATTAAATCTCAGCTTTTGACTTCAAAATACACCCACCCACACACACATAGTGTGAGGCAATTAAACCGTACACCTTTACGAAGAAAGATTAACCTGTTGTAAATGGGTTATAGAAGCTGCTTGACTCTCCAGAAGCTCGTACAGGACAGAGTTGTTGGCTGTGGAAGAAAACAAAATGGCAGCAATCAAGCAAATGGTAAGTGGTTTAGTTAATGTTCATACCTCTGGCAGATTTCTCTTCAGCTGTTACTATGTCTACTGACAATCTGGTTCTCTTAGGGGCAGGAACAAGAGACGCTTCCCCTGGTTCTCCCTCAGTGACGCCAGCTCCACCTCTCCCTCTCCCTCTCCCTCTCGTACCTCTGCAGGTGCAACGGTAGCATAATGTACACTGCTATGTGGCATTCGTGTACTAAAATACAGCATTGTATATACACCACAATCATTATGATCTTGGCAAGCATGAACATTGGCAGGAAAAGAGGACTAATGCAAAAAGCAAACTGACCAATTCACTTATGCAGTAGCTACTGTAGCACATTTTCCAACCAACTACTATATACACATCGTTAAACGCAAAGAGTAGATAGTTACTTTACTAACCACACTAAGCATATTCTCAACATTGAGGCAACAAGCCTCAACAAAAATGACCAATAACACCAACATTATTGCAAAAGGTAAGAAACCGAGCAACTCTGCAGGAGCTACGTAGCCTCGTGTATGGTGGCCTACCTCATTCCACGGCCTCTCCTCTTCCTTCCCCTACTGCCTCTGCCTCGACCCACTGCCTCATCCCCGCTCGCCACCTCTCCTGTACCCATGGAAACAGGAGCAGCGCCACCCCTGCCACGCCCACCTCTCTTTCCCCTCCCTCTTCCCCTCCCCCTCCTCCCTCGTCCCCTCCCTGGAACATGCTGGTGCTCCTGCAGCTGCAAGGGTGAGCTAGACAGACTGCTCGCCATGCTGCCGGCATCACTGGTCTCAGAAACTGGAGGCGAACGAGTATCTCTCTCCTTTGCCAGTTCAGAAGGTCCAGGTGAGTGGGTACCCACAGAAAAAGCTGAACAACCAGATTCATTGGAAGAGGTGTCACTTTTTGGTTGCATTCCCCCATCATCTGTCCTGTCTGGGTCTTTCTTTATCTCCACCAAGAGCATCCCTTGATGTGACACACCTTCCCCAGAGTCTGTCTCCTCGTCTGACTGCGGCTGGGGCGAGATTTTAACCCTCTGGGCTCCAACGTCGGGAGACTTCGAGGTGGGGATGGGTGCAAAGGACACTCTCCTCTTTGTGGCTCCACCCACTGCCCCGCCCACTTCTCCTTGGTGTTTGCTACTGGTTCCTGGAGACGGTTCTTTTCTCAATCTCTCCGCAGACAAGGGAGGTGGAAGTCTGTGACCATGACCTCTGTCTGCAATAGTAACATGTTATGACAACTAATGATCTCAAATTGTTCAGCAAAATCTCCAAAAATACTATAATTGGACTCTCAGAGAGAACAATTTTGATGCATTAACCTCTGAATAATTAGGGGCCTCTGAATAAAGGACACTTTCGACGTAAACTTAACAAAATCCACTAAAATTAATGAAACTGTATGTTACTTATGAGTCTGGTTTGGTAACCACATTATGAATACTTATATACACCTGTATATACCTCATACCTACACAGTTAGAATGTCATAATCAGTTCGAAAATTACACAAAAAGATAGACGACGGCTTACATTCTCGGTTTTTCTTGACAAACACTGCATGCAGCATTTGAGGATAGTTGGCCTGAGTTACACCTGTGGAGACCAGTAATAAAAAGTACCAGTACGGTGAAACACCCAAAGAAGGGACAGTAAGTATGGGGACGACCCTTTTGTCCCCTCTAGGGAGGCTGTCCTCTTTCAGAGGTTCTCACTTTTACATGTTAATATTGAATATGAGTCATTGCTGCAGTTATAATCCACAAATAATATAAGATCACTGCAAAACATGTTCAAAAGAGCAGTAAGCCATGCACAAGCACGATAGTAGTTGATACAGTACACCACGTGGAGGAGGTCAAAGGAATAGCAAACAATGATCTCTCTGCGCAATTTCCCGCGCCAGTTCCAACGTAGCGGTAGCCAATGGCGTAGCTACTGGCAGAGGCTCATCTGTGTGGTAGAGTTTCAGTCCTATGTACTAGGGGGTAAGCTTACCACGTGTATATACAGCTGGCGATCCTGTGCACTTACCGTTTCTACGGTCGAAAGCTGGCGTTAGGCTGGACCTGTAGTATCGTAGCACGAGCGGTGATCGCAAAACGTAGTGGATGGGGTAGGTGTGGTCATGGAGGCACGGCTACATAGCTGTCCTCTTTCAGAGGCAAATATGTATAGGCTCTAGTACGTTGGCAGGTGTCCGCTCTACGTCCTCTCTTCAGGGGTTTCAATGTATTAGTATAATGGGAAGTTCAATCGGGGAGGGGGGCAGCGGAACTGTCTGCTCTAGGAGGCGGTGTCTGCACTAGGGAGGGTCCGGTTTCGCAGGTTTCACTGGAGTGAAGACGTCAGATTTGTAGAGATGACAAAACTTACCAAGGTCATGGCTGACAGAGCAAGTGGGCATTAGGTAGATTTTTGCACCATCAGAAGTGTTGATAATCCCAATCTAATCACCATCACAATAAACACACACATTACAGGTGGTTTAGCTATGGTTTCTGCCATACCCATCTGTTGACTGAAAGATAGTCTGCAGTCTTCACAATGTTCTGGTTGGGATCATTACAGCCCCTAATCTCACAGTATCCCACTCTCAGATCACCTCTGTGGAAAGCTGCATGAAAATAACAACTATAATATACCAGTGTTGGACGCAACCCACATCATTAGAATCTACGTGCTGCCAGAAACGCAGTTCACATTGAGAATCAACCGTAGTATAGTGGGGTTACAGTTGATTTCCCAATAGCAAGTTGAACGCAAAAGGACTTGGCAAATTTCTCTCTTTTTAATCTTCCTTTCTTTCTCTCCCTCTCCCTCTTCTCCCAACATCTTTCTCTGTCCTTTTCTCTCACAGACTGATGTATACATACCTTCACCCCTACTGAGGCAGGGAAGACGAGTGAAGAGGGCGTAAGGAAACCTCTCTTTCACCTTGGAAAACGGTATCCGATTATTCATCTTTAGCTCTGAATCTCTACAAAACACCACAATACAAAATTGCTTTTAAAAAAACATATTATATAGCACGCACTAGATACCAACCAATCCAGATTCTCCTACATATTATCTATACATACACAGCAAGTTGGGAGTTTGTGGAGCCACAGCTCACATTGCAAATGGAAACGTGTCGCCAGCAGCACCGAACCAGAACAGCTTGACGGCAGAGATGGGCCTCTCCTTGTTCTTGAGTGTGGACACACACAGCTCCACCGCTTTCTCATGGCAGGCTGGTCAGAGAGAGAGAGAGAAAGACACTTTGGGGTCAGTTACCGATTCTTACACAAAGTGGTGTACATCTTCACCTTTGATATCATTCGGTGATATCATCTCCTCCTGAAACCTCGTAACCGCCTAAAGATGGCGGATAGAAAGAAGGCGTATCCCTCAAACATGGATTTACCTCCACGGCTGTCATGTCGGCAATACGCACTCCGTCGGTCTTTCCCGGGGGGTCTGTAAATAAAGATAGTCGGAAAACAGTTATCGCTTTAGTGGGTGTGGAGGGAATATGTGGTGCTCTCTACTCTTACCTGCGGTTCTCTATAACTCTGCGGCCTGATAAACGGGCGTTGCAAGCACGAACGAAAAAAGTTAGTTATCTGTGAGTGTCTGAAGGGGGCGGGTGAGCTGTAAAACTAACCGCGCCCCCACGTGTGCGCAATTTCATGCATACCCGTCCGGATTCGAGCGAGATGCGAGAGCTGCTGATAGTAGGTGCCGGCATCACGGGCTCTCTGACTGCCGCCTTGCTCGCCAGAGCACGGCCTTCTCTCTCTCTGACTGTATGGGACAAGGCCCGGGGTGCCGGCGGCCGCATGAGCACCCACCGAGACCCCGCTAACCCGGCCCTGCACGTAGACATGGGGGCTCAGTACATCTCCCGATTTGCGCCTCGTCCAACAGACACGGCTGCGTTTACAACTCTAAAGGAAGAGCTGTACTCTGAACTGTTGAAGTGCCGCGTCTTGCAGCCTCTGAGCGGAAAGATCGAGGGAGAAAGGAGCAACCTTGCGGGGGCAGAAGAGGCCAAATTCGTGGCCCCTAAAGGTATGAACAGCGTCGCAAAACACTTTCTGGAACAGTCGAGAGCTACTGTGGCCTACCAGCACCAGCTACAGACCACGCACGTCAGAGATGGCCGGGTGTTCTGTGACACTTCAGCTGGTGCAAGTGCCAACTTTGATGCAGTTATCCTGACCATACCTGTTCCACAGATCCTCGCACTCAATGGAAACTTTGTAGACCATTTGGACTCTGGGACTCGAGCTAGCTTAGAAGCAGTGAAATATTCATCGCGGTATGCACTAGGACTTACACTTAGTAGTGTTTCTGCATCATCATGCAGTTCGTTTGATTGGACAATGAAGTACGTGGACCATCCCATCATCCGGTTTATGAGTTGGGACAGCTCTAAAAGGGGGAGCAGTGAATTCGAAACCAAAAGTGATTGCCTCTTGGTTCACACTGGTGTGCCCTTTGCCACTGAACACTTGGAGACTGATAAACCACGAGTCCAGGAGCTCGTTATGGCTGCCCTGACAGAGGTTCTCCCCGAAGTCCCCTGGGGGGCGGCAAAACACAGTCACCTCATTCGCTGGCGTTACTCGCAAGTTTTGACTCCGTACAAAGACACTCGCGGCTTTGCAGAGCTGTCCGCCAGTGACCAACCCCTAGTGCTGGCTGCAGGAGATGGCTTTGCTGGGTCCAACTTTGAGAACTGCCTTTTCAGTGCACAGAACACTGCAGACCACATCCTCAAACATTTAGAGCCGCGATTCATACTACTACTTAATCTTAGGTGAATATCTCTATCACTAGGTACAGTAGTACATACTTGATCAGCACAGCATCTAGTAAATGAATGGAACGTGTCGAGATAGCAAGAGAAAATGAGTGATGACAGCCATGGTGGTATGTGGAGAAAAATACACACAGTTAGTTACCACACTATCCAACATCACTACCATCTTCATCAGGAACACACTGAGAAACAAAGAATACCTAATTAAAAGATTGTTTGAATTAAGCAGGGGACTAACCAGGTACTCCACGAAGCAGACCTGCTTGTCATTGGTGAGTATCATGCACTGGAGCGAGAGGAAGCCTCGTCTGTCCATCCTTATCGATATCTTGGTCGACTGGTTGACTGCCTTCTGACAAGGCTTCAAAAGAGCTAGTCTGTACCTAAAACATAGTGTGTATATAGATACAGTCATGCATTACTGCAAGGAGGGTTACGGCATACTTGTATTGGAGGGTCTCTTGGCACTCAAAGACTTGCATCATATCAGAATCCTTTGGGTAGTCAATCTGTGGAAAAGCTATATACACCATCCCCGGTGTGCCGTTCTTTTGGTTTCATGCATAAACCAAAAGAATGGCAGACAGTACAGTACGTACAGCTGGAAACTTCACGTTAAAGATTAAGGTTTGAAACCATACGAGCCATGGTGGTGTCATGTACTTAACAGAACTGCACATTGCTGAATTTATGCATTTAGAAAAATAAGTATAGAGTTACATCTGATTCTCTCCTTGCGAGATTCGTTCTACTCCCACCTGAGTGGTTCCGGCAAAGCCAGAAGTGGAGAGGCGACAGAAGGGAGGAGAGGGGGAGAGCAGGATCTCCAGCGAGTCACTCGACATATCGAGCTCAGCAAACACCTCTCGCACACAGTCGGCCTTCAAGATGACTCTGTTAACTACGTTGGAGCTGCAGAAATCAAAGTCCAGGACTTCGTCTGCGTCCTGAGTCTGTATGCTGCAGTCTGTGAGGACACCAGACTCCTCCAGCCTACCAGGGGATACAGAGTTCATTAGAACCAGCTGTATATATATCGTTTGAGACACCCAAAGATTCTTTATGAGAACATTCTACGAAAGTGACGTTTTGTATAATATTATAGGTGAGTTGCAATCTGTCTCTGCAAAATATTTGGGCCACCGATCCCTCAAAAGTGTCCCCCACTTCACACTGAATACCCTAAGTTTTACATACAGTCTCGACACATGTGGACATCTGCAACGCAGCATAATACAGAAAGCTCAACGATGAGTAACATTCCAACTGCTCACAGCAAGGTGAGTGGACTTCCATATCCCATATAGCACATCTTGAGTGCCGTGTGCTGGCCCTCCTGCCCCCCACTGCCCCCTCCAAATATACTGAGACACTCAATGAGAGCAGAGAGGTTTATTTTGAAGGCGAGGGAGGCATCACTGCGATAGACAAACTGCTGGAAGAGGCTGGCCTGGATGAACGCATTGGCCTGTACACACTTGGACTGCTCCACCGTCACTTTGAGCCCCTGGGCGCTTAGGAAACACGTGCACACCTGCAAATCGATCCCACTGATTGAATGCGCCTTACGGTAGCTAGTATACCTCTCTAAAGTGCACAGCTTTCAAGAGAGATGACAGGCTCTTTGCGTTGTCCATTCTTGCGACCAGGACGTGCCCGCTGTCGTCCTGGCTGGGCTGAGTGAAGCGAGACATGGTCTCTTGCGTGAGCCACAGACACAGTTCAGAGTTCAAACATTACCGCGCGGTATTTGCGCGCGCACGTCTTGTTCTGCGCGTGCGCAAAGAAAATCTGACACAAAACAACAAAACGGTGTCTGGCTAAGGATGACTATGATTATATACATCAATATAGCTTAAAATCTCCTGTTACACTATCAATCACAGTTTCAGGTCCTGCATAGAAAGCAATACAGCAAGAATATTCAAGGGATACATAATAACAGATTCAAGGGATGTACACATGGTATATACAGTTTACCTGGGCCAACACACAGTACGGTCTTAGACCCGGGAGCTATTTGAGTTCTCCCAGCATCCCGCACAATGTAGGTGTTTATCCCCAGTCTAGACGCCTCTGTAGCTGCTTGCAACCTGCACCAAGACAACTCTATTCCCCATCTCGAGCACCCTACAAGATTACCCTATATTTGTGCATGAAAAAACACTGCACACCAAAATAGTTACACAGGTTGGCCATTAAAAAATGAGAAATGGTGATTTCTGGTGGGATGGGCAGTATTTTTGTTAGAATCAAGCAGAAAGCTGGTGGTTAGTGAGTGCGAAATAATGAGCACTAACAGCAGGGAATACTCACAATGATTGTTCATCTGGAGCTTTACTACCACCTTCATTTGGCCGTTATCCTCCCACACACTCAGCAGCTGTATATATTTCACATTACACAGACAAAGCTAAAAGTAGGAACCAACCCTACCCGAACATCTCTCTTCATCATCCGCTTGTATGCACTAGCAGCATGAGCGCACTGGAAGGATATGAAGTGTGAGTGAGTGTTAGTCTGATCAGGTAGCGAGAGAGTCAGTCACCTGCGCTGCCACTTTACCCTTCCCCATCTTCAAGTCGTTTCGTACCACCAACACCATCTTGTACTCTCCACTGACATACTCAAAACTGGACCCATTATCAACCTGCAAAAGGTTATACTGAGTGGAGGACTCAATTCGGACAACTTGCCTGCCGTCCGTAAAAGGGTAGCAGTCGCCTTCTCCTAGAGCCTATTACAATGCCCAGAAGAAATCCACAGCCAAGACTCAGGGAAAGAGCCAAAGCAAGTTGCACTGTCGTTTTCTCCATGAAACCCAGAGTAGCGTATGCGGAGGTATCCTGGGTTCACGTGGACCTGCCGTCCGTATATTCCGCGTGTTGTGCGACGTCGTCAACGAGCGAGATGGCTAGCAGTGTGGTCGTATCGGCTCCAGGGAAGGTTATCCTTCATGGAGAACATGCTGTGGTATACGGAAAGGTAATAAGCTGCTAGCACAGTGATTTAGACGGCGTAAGCAAAGAGTATAGCTATTGCTAGCTACTTCATTTGTCTGTTTTTTTGTCTGCAGGCAGCTCTTGCTACAAGCGTGGATCTGCGATGCTACGTGGTGTTGAAACAAGTGGAGGATGCGACCATAACTCTGGACCTGCCTGATTTCGATCACCATGTTCAGTGGAGTCTATTGACCATCAGCAGTCTACACACCCTACAAACTGGTGTGTGTTTTAGAAATGTTGGTACTGTAGCCATGCCCAGTTCATTATGTTGCAAAGCTAAAGCACCACATATTATACATCTCTGGTTCCGTCCTCAGCGACTGAGATGACAGAGTTGAAAGAGCTGGCAGGTGTTACGTCAGAGTCTCCTGCCACCCAGAACACAGCAACACTGGTCTTTCTCTACCTCCTCACCCACATTTGCAGAGAGAAACTGGCGTGAGCTCAGTCTCTATTTCCGTCCACGTTCAGTGGTGTCTTGAGGTTCTCATTTAGGGGTGTAATTTTGCAACAAATATTCTTGCGTCCACACAACAATTCACCTCTGCTTTTACAACTGCTTTTGCCACTACATCTGCACACTTACTTCATGCAGCTCTATATATAAAGCATGTGAAGTTGCTTGCACACTGGTAAAATCATACAATCTTGTCTGACGGCATGTGTTGGTTGTTACAGGGAGTTTCCTGGACTCAGTGCTACAGTTATCTCCACTCTCCCTGCGAGTGCCGGACTAGGCTCATCCGCCGCTTTCTCCGTGTCCCTCGCAGCTGGGTTCCTCTCTCTGATTGGGGAGGTCTCCCCCAATCAGCGGCTTAACAAACCGCTACAACAGCAGGCAACAGTGGAGAGTGAGAGAGGGAGTGCGAAGGTTGGATTGCCAATGTCGGTAATGCAGAGACTGGATAAACTGGGGATCGGTGTTTCTGGGTCTGTGTGTACTGGTTGGAGTGCTAGTGAGATGGAGGTCATCAATGAGTGGGGACTGAAGGCTGAGAAATTAATCCACGGGACGCCCCTCTGGGATTGATAACTCCGTCAGCACATTTGGTGAGTAGTGTCATTATTCTCTCATTTCTCCTACCATTATATAGCGGGGTTTTGTTAAATGTATGCATTCATTCTCGACAATATAATGTGGCGGGTCCTTGTATAATGAATGTAACTTTCTTGCAACAGAAATTTTACCACGTGAAGTAGCCACATTATGCATGTCTCTATAGGAGGTGCTATTCGGTTTTGTTCAGGACAGATCAATCGCATACAGAGGTATATCCAGCAGCACCAACTATAGGTACTCCATGTGAGGCATTGTACTTTCGGTGCAGAATGCCAAAAGTGAGGATCTTGCTCGTCAACACAAAGGTTTCTCGAAGCACGAAAAAGATGGTGGCTGGAGTCAGAGAACTCCGCGACAAAGTAACAACAAATCTGATCACTAATGTGTCAAAGTACTGCCTGTTTCCCCGCAGTATCCCAGTGTTGTTGGGCCCATACTGGACTCAGTGGAGGCTATTGTAGAGAAGGCCGAGTATCTCCTCCACCAGTTAGCCCAAGTCTCTCACACCCAACCACAGCCAAACACAGACACCATACACGCAGGCTTGCAGGTACGTAAAATACTACGTTTGCTTCAGAGATTTGGAAGGGGGTATTCAATTTTGGTGAATTTCCAGCTACGAACGTTTTATCTGCGGAATATGTTGGCTAAGCTATATTTGCAGTTGAATTCATCTTAGCCACCAAAAACCAAAATCACCAAAGTTTCTTGTCTGGAATGTATATAGGACCTGTGCCAGGTGAACCAGTGCCTACTGAATGCTCTGGGAGTGGGCCACCGGGCTCTGGACCAGGTGTGTGCGGTGGCTCGAGAGAGAGGTCTGGCCGCCAAACTGACTGGAGCTGGTGGAGGTGGCTGTGCCTTCATCCTCCTACCACCCGGTACACCACACAACAACCTCCGACAAAGGACACCTCTCTTATAAAGGACGCTCGATTCTACCCCATTACTGTATAATGTTACCCCCGATTACAGGACAATCCCAGTGTGCCCCTTCTTCAGTGATTTTACTGATATGTCCATTAGGAATACTTTAGGTTTTTAGTGGGCAGTGCCTATATTATAGCTCTCTTGCCATCTGCACCAATAATTTGCTCCCCAAAATTTTTCGGTTGCACAGATAATATTGTCTAGCAAGCATCCGTGAAAGTGTGTTTAAGAGTTGGCTTGGTTGGCTTTCCATTAGATTACCCGTGGGAAAAGCTGGAAGAAGTGGTGGAAGCCCTATCAAAAGCCGGGTTTGAAAGTTGGGAGACTACCATCGGTTCAGCAGGAGTCACAGCACACAACTTTGTATCAACATAAGGACACACCTCTAGCTATAGATTTGAAGATGCGTTTTTTTATCAGAGTTTTTATAGTTGTGCGGCTGCCATGGCAGCACCCAAGGGAGCGTCTGCGTCCTTCTTGAGGACGAGAGGCAACTCAAAGACTCGTTGGATGTGCTCTTGAAACACGGAGTAGCTCTGTACCAGCTTCCCACTGACCAGCACCCTCTCCACCTGCAACACACAGCTTTTCATTACTGTTCACACATAAACACACTCTCTCTTCTCCCTTTCTCTGTTTTATGTCAAGAAGCTCTGCAGAGATAGTGGGCAGCGTGCTATATATACAGTAATGTACTTGCAGACTCAGGGTCAGGGAGAATAACTGTGGGGGTTGCTAGTAATTCGCTAAACCTCTATCCTAAAAAGTGTTACACTTTGGCCGATTGGCTCTCAATTATAACTGGCATTTTACCTCCTTCATGTGGTACTGCATAATTATCCCTTGCCATTGCTTACATATAGCATGACCCAGACAGTATCAAACCTGATGATATTCCAGGAGGTGAGGTGAGATCATATCACGAAGGTTTTCCACGAGTCCCCTGACAATTGCACTCCCCACATCCCCGAGAGTGAGATCATCAGGACCAACGTTCCACACTCGTCCTCGTACCTCGGGGGCGTGTCTCTCTCCCCACACGCGAGGGTCCATCTTCAGTGGGGTCTCCAGTCTCTCGCCTGCTGACTCCATCACTTTCTTGTACACCTCTTCGAATTCGAGGGTTGGGGTTGCCCCCATAAGCTCTCCCAACCAGCTCTGGAGAGTTTTGATGAAAAGAGCAATTGTATCGCCACCGCCAAGAGCAGCTGCAACGAACAGATGGCTACCGCTGAAGTAGGGGACTCGAACCACTGAGTGTGGTAGTGAGAGGGGAGGCAGCTTTTCTGGAGTCTCTTCTGCCCTCAGTGGCTCTATCAGAACCAGTTGACTGGCACTGCCCATGTTTAGAACTGTAGTGAACATCTATAGTAAATGTCCGTGCAAATGTTGTTCGAAATAATTATACATTCACGTGTACGTACCTGCATCTGTGAGCTCTGGCTGGGCAGCGAATACGGAGCACTGCATATCTCCCATTGCCACAGAGATCTTGGTTCCTCGGGGGATACGGTGCCACTCTGACATCAACCGACCAGCTAGGTAAGGTGCATCTTCCACGCTCGGCAGCAATCCCAGCGGAAACAAATCCTCCAATCTGAAAGTGTATTTATAAAGGATTCGTCTAATATTGCAAATCAACGTACAGCTCTGTGTGCCATTTCATAGCAGAGAGATTGAAATAGCCCCAACTGGTGGCATTTTGGGATGACATCACCACTGCTTCCTTGCCTCCACTGCACAGGGCACCCACTACTGCGTCCATGATAGTGCCTGCTCTGTTGTACTTTGACAGTGTCTCTGGATTGTGGCGCTGGAGCCAGGCTAGTGTTGCACATCCATAACCAGCACTAACGGGAGGGTTTCCCCCAGAAGGCATTTTTGGGAGGGACGAGATGAAGCTCGTATTGCAGCGTGAATCTTGCCAGGTGAAAAGATTGCTACACTCTGTGTTTTCAGCACAGAGAGCTCCAGTTGATGTGTTGAACAGTGTGCCTCTTTTAGAATTCCACAGGATGCACCCGTGCATCTGTCCACACACCCCAATAGCTTTCACGTCCTCCATCATCTGGTGATTCTCCACCTCCAGACTCGACACACACTCTTCTATGGCATGGAATATCTGAGAAGCGGACCTCTCCGCTGCGCCTGGGGTCTCCACATGCTCGAGGCTACCTAGAGGACGGGTCTGCTGGTGGAGAACGCTAAAAGTGGCCTCTTCTACCAGCACCACCTTTACATTGGTGGTGCCTATGTCGACACCGAGCAGCATTACAGCATTACGTCACACACTCAGCTGGGCTCATGTAGGCGTGGCTCGTGGTTGCTCACTGCTTGTGCAACCACGATAATGCAGCCTAGCCATGAAAAGGAGAATCTACCGGTTTTCTTGCGTATTACAACTCGTACAGAAGGAGCAGTGGTTGAGTATGGCCACTGAAGCGACGCTCGAAAAGAAGGAGTGGAAGGTACAGTCATACGTGGAGCAGCAAGACAGAATCTGGCCCAAGGAAGGTCGCCATATTCTGGCACAGTACGACGATGACACCGTGGTAGTCTACCAGGCCTTCTCCCCAGTGATAGCTGAATATGCCATCCGTAACCAGAAGTAAGTACTTCCTGAACATAGTCATTCTAGCACAAGTTATCGTTTTTGCTGCATATAGGTTTGGAGGCGAAAAATTCTCCTTTACTCGGATGTCTTGGATCAAGCCCAATTTCCTGTGGATGATGTACCGCAGTGGCTGGGCAAGCAAGAAGGGCCAGGAGCATGTTCTGGCAGTGAGGATCACGCGAGCCGGCTTCGACCAGATCCTCTCCCTGGCTCTTACCGGGCAGGCAGAGAAAGCGGCGGGGAGAAAGGAGCCAGCACAAGTTAGGCTGCAGTGGGATCCAGATCACGGGCCTAATGGGGATCCCCTGCCTCGACGAGCAATCCAACTTGGCCTCAGGAATGAGGTAATCAAGTTAACTGCAGCTGAAGAGACCTAATAAAGTGGCAGTATAATAATAATAAGGGATACATTTAGAAACTATTTTCTACGTAAATTGGCCTTTATGTAGTACTGTCACATCCCCTATAAAAATGCTACATGTATTGCATGTGTGTACAGGTGCTGAAGCGGTACAGTGAAGAGTGGATTGTTGAGATAAAGGATGTAACTCAGTTTGTTCGTGAGCAGAATGACTTGGTCAAGAGGAACCAGATAGACAAGTTACTTGTTGCTCAGGAGCGGGTTTATCCAATCCTTGACCAGCTAACTGCCGCCCAGATCCAAGTCGACAATCTTTAGAATTTGGAGTGTATTAGCTACGATAATATTATCATTAATGAACACACTGTTCAGTATGGGGCAGAATACCAGTGTCCTTTATAATTATGGTAGGTCCATTCGGAGGTTCATGCTATCCTCAGCCTATATAGATTGAATTGACCACAGTGTATTTACTTATAAATAGACCAGAATTTGGACATTGTTACACAAGTGATTTTGATGCTACTCTGATGGAGTATAGAATTGACTTGGATGCGACGTCTGTTGCAAGACTCTGAAGTGTTTTGTGTATCTCTTTTGACGGTTTTTCTTGTACTCTTCGATCCTCTCCCTCTCCCTCTCCTCGTCCGAGAACTGATCTTCCCAGCGTAGACTATCTCTTGAACGCAGTCCATCTTCAGTCACATCCTTTAGCTCTCCAGAAGTTGATTTGCTGCCTGATTGGCTGCTGCTGCATGGGAGTTGTTCCGAAACTCTGGTGGTCTTGCTGGGAGGTTTGCTGGTCTCAAGACTACTGGAGCTGCTAGTTGCAGTGGCTCCTGTCGCTACCAACTTCCCACTACAGCCACTGTTGCTGCTCAGCTCTGAACTACAGTGAGAGCCGCCTAGAGAGTGGGGAAGGTTTATGAATTATTCATGAAACTAAAATGGGCGGGGCTACTCTGCACACAGATACACAGCAGCTGTAGCTAAGATACTCAGCTGTTTTTACCAGGATAATGCTTCTTTGTTTGACGTGATGCACTTTCTTGACGACAAATGAAAGACAGCGGCGGGGCTTCGCCGGCAGTTTCTTTTTCCGGTGCTTTATTTTTCTTCTTTCGTTTCTTGCCAGCTGCAGAGTCGGACGACTCCGACACCACCCCGCGTCCGTCCGGTCCTTTGTGCACGGCGCAGGACCCGCTCTGCTTTAGCTTTTGTGAGCTGCAACGCCTCTTCTCCATCGCACCACCACACACCACAATAATGCGCTGCTGCTGCTCGCTGCACAGATGACCACGCCCACTTTCCGCGATCTGAAAAATGGCAGAGAGCGAAAATCCACTGTCTTTGCCGCTACTCCCGAGCGCCTCCGACGGTTGCAACGCTCACAAGAGCGAAGACCAAGACGTGAGGTCTCCCCCTAAAAAGAGCAAGACAGATGAAGCGGAGCATGGGTCGAGCCCGGAAGTTGAGGTGGTGAAGACGGACGAGTTTGAATTTCTGGACGGCATGACTCGCTTAGCCACTCTTGAATCGGGTACATATGTATGCAGCTGTACATGTTTTCCATGTATGTTCCAGCTTACTAATGGGTCGTTGGTATGCTTACAAACTCGTCCATTTTATAGCACTGCCTGCATCTCAGCTTGCAACTCAGCTATAAGAAGTAAATTAGTTTAGCAAGAAGCTAAACATAATTATTCAACATACTATGAGCTGCTAGCCAGGTTGCTAGTTTTCCTGTTTCCCGACTGCAGAACTGGAAGATGTCAAAACCGGACTAATGTCGAGACAGGGACTAGACCAATTCGTCCCGTTTCGCCTCCTGCATCCGTGGGGAAACAGGGTTCTGTCGGTGACAGACCTGAGTGGCGGGATGTGGTGTGAAGTCAACGTGGAGTACCGCAAACTCCACCGCCACCTCAAGAACTCCCGGGAGTGGAAGAGGATGGAAGAGAAGGGCATCCCCTGTGGTGCTCAAGACAGAGTCCATGAAGAAAGGTTCCGAAGTCCATCTCAAGAAAGGTAAAGGTGAAACAGAAAGAGAAGAGAGGGGAGCTTTTCAGGGGATACCAATGGACTGGTGGCATTGGTAGTATATAGCTACTCTGCATAAGTTGTTTGAACAATTCTAAAAGATGGTGAAAGTTTTTCCCTTCAAATTTTCACAATAGCTACCACAGATTTTGTTTACTGTTTTTGGCAGAGTTGGAGGTTCATGAGATAGTGAAGGTGGAAACAGTGACCAAAGAGGACAGGGCTGCAGTTCAACTCATCAACACCTACACTCAACTCTCTGTCGTCAAAACTGGGGGCATGGAGAGAGAAGTGTCCGTGTTTGGGGATCCGTTTGAGTCCGGTGTCCTCGTGAGAGGGATCATTGACCAACTGCAGTATTTCCCGGAGGCCGGCGAGCTCATCCTCACAGACAACAAGACAAGACGGGCCAAATCGCTACCCCCGACGGAGCAGAAAAAGGGGACCCGTTTTCAGCTGATGTTGTACAAGTACCTGCTGGATCGCATGTGTTTGGGACTCACCAAGGGAGAGCTGTTGTACCGGCACTTGAATCTGGAGAGGGAGTCGTGTCTCACGCAGGGGGCTCTGAATCACATCATCAGCTGCGGTCTTAGTGGGCTGTTTAGTGACGAACTGGGAGTTGCCGGAGGATTAACCAGCTCACAGCAAGGATTTACTGAAGGGTCGAGCATTTCTCAGCAAGGAATTGGTGAAGGATTGAGCAAAGGCTTTTCCGAGTCCATAGCTCAAAACAAGAATCAAACAGTTTGCCGTCGGGAATTATTGGAGGGTTAAGCAGTTCTCAGAAAGGGTTCTTGGAGGGACTGACATTTGGTCGAGTTGTAGATTGCATCCTGGAGCACATTGCAGGACTCGGACTGCCACTTGTGGGAGTGCTGATGGTGCACTACGAACACCAGGGGAGCGGCGAGTCACTCGGGATGGACACCGTGGAGTACGATGAACAGTGGATGATGGGCGAGCTGAAGAACAGACTGGGGTACTGGGAGGGCTCCCGGCCAGCGCAAGGCGTCGACATCGAGTCGGCGTGGAAATGCTCGAGTGCCAGTTCAGAGACATATGCACCTGGAGACTCCAGGGACAACTTGAAACTTCGCCGGCTGCAAGATTATCGTCACGATGAAAAAAACTCATTGCATACATGAGAAAACTAAGTCCAAAATGTTTGTACAGTTTTAAACGATGAAAGATGTGTAGACAAAGTCTGTAACAATAATACAGAGACCAGATATATATGAAACCGCAAATAGACACAGAAACTGGGTGATTATAATATTGATGACAAGTGCTATTAGCAACAAAAAAAAGTGCAGTGTTCAAAACAGAAAATTTTTTGCTCAAAGCAATGTTTTCCTTGCTAGCGTCGGATAATGACGCGTTGCTGAGGAGGTGGGACCGAAACCACGGTAACAGTGGTAGTATTCCGCTGTACGACAGAGTGGGCTGGGGGGCGGTAATACTGTTGGGGGTAGTAGCCCCCCGGAGGGGGTCTGGGAGGGTATTGGTACCTTGCAGGGGGAGGTGCCGCGTACGCAGGCTGGGGAGCTGGTCTGTATGCTGGCTGGGGGTACGGCGCCATCGGGGGGCGGGGCTGTTGTTGATATTGTGCAACAGGTGGTTGTTGTGGAGGAGGGGGCTGGTAGTACCCTGGGGGGTAATTTTGGGCCCCCACATACCTTGCAGGTGGTGGTCTCTGGGGGGCCTGAGGTTGAGGGGGAACTACAGTATACGGCGGCCACTGAGGCATGGGGGGCCCTTGGGGACCAGATATCGGAGGCCTCTGGGGGGCATACATGGGGGGTCCCTGAGGGGTAGGCATAGGAGGCCCCTGAGCCTGAGGTGTGTAAGGCGGTGGAACAGGGGGCGTGGTTATGGGAGGAGCTTGGCAGGAGACTTTGGGTAGGTGGGAGCTGGGTACTGCTGGTCTGCCGTGACCACACCGCGAATCTTCTCCAGTGCAGCCAGCCAGCTCCTGCCCAAAACCACAGAGAAACAGACAAAAAACAACAATGAGCATGTCAATGCACAAAAAACGTAGGACTGGTGGTGGATGCAGGTATTTTCTCCATATTCTGCGTATCCTGTTTGTTATGGTTCAGACCGGAGACAAGATAAAAATCGGAGGAAACTGGAATTACAGTTCAATTTCAAAACCACAGGTGCAGCACAACACAGATGCCCTCGATGTGCTCCTGTGTTTGGTGGGAAGCTTGTGCAGAGCAGCTTCTCATTTCAGGTTTTAAAATTCCCCCGATCCTTACACTATATCCCAGGGGGTATATACGAATAAACACATTGTGTACGTGTGCATGAATTCTGTTGGAACTTTGTAACAAGACGTATAAATATCAAACATTAGGCATTCCTACTGTGGAATGAAGGAATCACATGCACGCCTGCCCTCCCACAATCTGACACAGCATAATGCGGTGAAATTATATTCATGTCAACACTCCTTGCTCCCAGACATGACTGGCTAATAAAAGACACAAGTGGACCATGCATTTTTTTTATAGCAGAGGGGTAGCTAATAACACCACCACCGGCATGTTTCCTATAGAGCTATTGTGATAAAGTGATTTGGGTCTGAGTTAACTGGCAACAGTAGCACCTACAACATTCTCGAAGTCATTAGCTATAATAATGCAGGTCTTACTATAGATCTATGGTCTTACCCGCGCTCGTCCAGCGTTTCGCACACGCAGGTGAACACTCGCTCCTTTGTGACAATGAGGAAGGTATTGCCGGGGGAGAAATTGAGCGGCAGACGCTCGGCTCCCTTCGTCTTTTCATCGTACGGAGACACGCTAGCGGCGTCCACTGCGTCTATCTTCCCTTTCTCCACCTTGGCCGACGAGTCAGTGTAGTAGTACAGGTAGCCGTTCCGCTTCAAGACGAACCATCGTCTCTTCCAACTCTTTACCGAACTTCCTGGAGAAAGAGAGAAATGTGAAGTACCTATCTTGTTAGCTACGAGCAGCTGTCTTCAAACTTACCGCACTTGTGCACGTAGCCGCTCTTCACCTCGTCTTCAGCCATGAGATCAAACCGCTTTCAAAAGAACACAGAGCCACACACCCAAACACGATACCGTAGGACGCAAGTGGAGAGGTCCGGCTAGCTGGCTAGGTCGATCGACTGTACGTGATCGCAATTACTTAACCGACCACGCCCCCGCGGTACTTCGCACGCCGATTTTTCGAGACTCTTATTAAAGGAAAAAGTAATTTTGAAATCCGGAAGACACGGTTTCCCGACTTGAGCGACCTCTCCGACGTCCGATCTATTAGCTGAGTCACCGTATACACGTCGCAGGTTCCTCCTCTCCCCCCGAAGGACCAACAAAGCCACAATGCTCATCCGAGAATTGTAAGATCCGATCATACTGTATGAGGGAGGGAGGGGGCGCGTGCACGCGAGACACGTTGTGTAAGGTAAATGGGGGTAACTTCGGACACGGGGTAATACCCGGACACATAACTCGCTATTCAGAAACAAGAGAAAGATTCGGATATATTTCACTTGATTTTACTACCTGCCAAAGCGCTAACAAATGTTCCTCGCGTTTTTTCGCAGCGCATAATTTCGAAGCTGGTGCAAAGCGGAGTTACCTCCGCTTCCGGAGTTACCCCCATTTACCTTACTTTACGTAGCGAACTCCCACCCTCCTTATACTGTAACTAAGCCGAACATCTCTCTTTCCTACAGTCGTGTGGTACTCCCACTCAGCGTTGAGGAGGTAAGACGCTCATGATGGCATTGGTTCCACTCTGCGTATGTGTTGAACTGGAGTGTGAGTTTGTAATGAGGTTTACTGCACTTTCCCTTCCTCTCTTTCAGTACCAAGTTGGACAACTCTACTCTGTCGCCGAGGTAATATTGGAGGCATTTTGCCGGAGAAAACGTTAAGAATGATTAAAACTCGCGAGGCGACTATATACTGCACCTAGAAGAATGGGTGGAACCAGTAGTACACTAGCCTCGTTCCCAGACCTCCAAGGGAAAGTGGGGCCTGGGGACAAGGCTAGTAGTACATGTGAACTTGTGTCTGTGTGCTCGCCTTCTCTGCCCACGTCTAGTGTCCGTAGTGGACCCAAAACATTCCCCTCCCTCCACCCATACACTTTCACGAGTAAAGTCGAAACTTTGTACACACTTTTAAACTTAATCATCCCCACACTTCCTTCCACCGTAAACCTTTCACAACGAAGCTCTCGCAAAGGGCACTAAAACCTCAAAATTTTGCATCTCTTGCACATTTTTACCAGAATGGTGTGTTTGTCTCCCATACAAACTCTCAAAAAAAACCAAAAAAAAACAACTTTCTCCCTCAACTATATTAACACCAGCACACATTGATAGCAGTAATAAGTTACATACCCAGAGAACATTGAATCAGGTGATTGATTATCAACCACCGATTTTTATTGTCGACTATTGTCATCAGGCCAGCAAGAATGAGACGGGCGGGGGCGAAGGGGTGGAGGTGGTTCAAAACGAACCGTTTGAGAACGCCGAGCTTGGAAAAGGGCAGTTCACTCACAAAATCTATCACCTCGCTAGGTATGTAAGTGTATGTATGTACATTGCCAAGCGCCAGAGCGCATGTGAGGGTTTTAACGTGGACCGTAGTTGTTGCATAAGCCTTGTTCAAGATATATTCCTTGTCGTGCTCACTTCACAAAATGGCGGGCTAAGGATTGACTTTTCCACCTGTCTTTGTTTATAGTAGTGCTGGTTGGGGTTGTTTTGTGTATAATACTATTTTCCTTGTGCAACTAACACTTCTCCATGGAAACCGTTGTGTCATCTGCAGTGTTTTGTGTACTGTTCAAGAAACAGGAACCTAATACCTACCGTGTCTATGGAAACCTCTTGTCATCAGCAGTGTATGTGCTGTGCATGTGATGTCCTAGATAATATTCCCCCTTGGGAGATTGAATACTTGTCGTTACCGTGTCTATGGAAACCGTCATCAGCAGTGTATTGTAGAAGTGTGCTGTGCATGTGATGTCCTAGATAATAATATCCCCCCTTGGGAGATTGAATACTTGTCGTTACCGTGTCTATGGAAACCGTCATCAGCAGTGTATTGTAGAAGTGTGCTGTGCATGTGATGTCCTATAATAATATTCCCCCCTTGGGAGATTGAATACTTGTGGTTTAGATGTTGCTTCCTGCATGCTCTGATTCTTGTCAACCCGGTTCCCCACAGGGTTTTAATCTCGCAGTTTAGCAGTAGCATTGCTCGAGGCATACAAGCTATACAACCCACATATTATACTCACTAGTGGCTATAGTTTCCCCGAGCTGGTTTTCAAACGCCGTACAATTGTGTGGGCACCGCATTGTGTATACATACAAATATTATCGTCGAACATGTCAATTATGATGTAGCCCCACTCTATAATTATACTACCGGCAGGAAGGTGAACAGGAACGGTCGTTCAAATTTCGGTTGGGCTGAGATAACAGGCTGAGATAACAGCGCACTTGTCATCACACGTTTACACACACCCACACAAGTCTAAAATTAACCCAATTATCTCTCGCGACACCTTACCTTGTTTCAGTCCTAATTACATGGTAGTAATACGGCGCACTCCCTACTGTCTCCATCCTCTCCTCTGTGGAGCCATGGTGGGTGGCTGGGGAATATCGCCGACAGAGAGAGGGGCTATACCTGGTACAGCTGTCTGGGGGAAGTTACTGCCCACCCTGAGCTGACTACTGCATGCCCGTACACTGACGTTGCTATAGTTAGATATACACATAGGCAGGAAATGTACACCATACTTGTCGCACGGGAGCACCCCTCTAATTATTGCTCCACGTGCCTTGCTTTTCGTGTATCGTGGGTCTGAATATTGCTATTGCACTCAGAGCAATTATGTCAGACCCACGATACACGAAAAGCAAGGCACGTGGAGCAATAATTAGAGGAATAATATATGTCCTCCCTCTCTCCAAACGATGCTCTGTATGAGTGGGGAGAGGGGGCTATACCTGGTACAGCTGTCTGGGGGAAGTTACTGCCCACCCTGAGCTGACTACTGCATGCCCGTACACTGACGTTGTTACACACAGAGGCGGAAAATGTACACCATACTTGTCGCACATGAGCGCCCCTCTAATTATTGCTCCACGTGCCTTGCTTTTCCTGTATCGTGGGGTCTGACATAATCGCTCTGAGTGCAATAGCAATAATATATGTCCTCCCTCCCTCTCTCCAAACGATGCTCTGTATGTTCTGCTGCAGTTTGTCATTTTATGATATTCCGTATTTCCCGCAGCAAGGTTCCGCGGGTGATTCGAATGCTGGCTCCCAAAGGTGCCCTTGAGGTTCACGAGCAGTCGTGGAACTGCTACCCGTTCTGCAGGACAATTATAAACGTGAGAATGTAATTTACATACTTTGGCTAGCGGACGTGAATACACCTATAAACTGAGCAGTTCTGAAGAAAAAGTGCCCCGAGCGGCGGTATAAACTAAGCATTTCTTGTGAAAAGAAAAGGTGTTGTAAACTGGCAAAGAGGTGTCCTTACTTCAGTGGTGTTCGTAGAGAGGGGTTCTCTGCATAGCAGTATGACGAGAATTCATCGAGATGATTTCAGCAAAATATAAGGAACCAGTGGCTGTATTGCGTCATTTCCCCCAGAATCCGGATTACATGAAGGACAACTTCCACATCACCATAGAGACACACCACGTCGACAACGACAAGGGAGAGCAGGAGAACGTGAGTTGCCCAAAACCATAATTATAGCAGGGGTGTCAGGAGAAAAGAGTCAAGTGCAAAGAGCTAAAGTTTTCGATTTACAGTTTTAGCAATGTAGCATTGACAGTGGCTCCAGGACTAATTAAAGCCCTTGTACATAGGTGACTAAGTTCGTGCTTTGTCTATGCCTACTAGAACGGCACTAGTCAGCTAGCATTATACACTTTTTTCAGCTCGTCTGTCGTGCTCCACCAGGCAGCTGGCATGGCAGTAGGCTAGGCAGCGATCGACACTTTGGAAGGCCCACTGACCCCAAAAATATCTGAACATCAAACCAAAATTGATTACGTGTTACGAGGTAAAGTGTCAACAATTCTTCGGTCTTAGTCACGCCACAATAACCAGGAATTTCCGCGTCAGTTTCATGCTCCAGCGCAACGGTATTGATGCAAGGCCGAACTGACACTTCGCTGACATCCATTGACCTTGTTATATGAGCTTGCATGTCAATGTCCTTGTAAGGTAAGGAGTACAAAACGTGGAGCCACTACCAAGTTCCTGAGTTATATTAATAATTGGTGCAATTAACCTTCATTAAACCCCTTATCATTATTTGGTTGTGTACTGTTCTGTTGTATAATGCATAAGATTTAGGAATTTTAGGATTTCGACCCTGTCTGCTGAGCTATATACCAGGGCATGACAATATGCATATGTGCGAACATCCAGAGGTTCAAAGTTTGCTTTGCTTGCCCCCACTGAGAGCAGCGCCATTTTCAGTGACCCCTCCCTCTCTCCTTCCCATCCCGCTGTCTCTCAGATACACAAACTTTCTCCGGCCAAACTCGCCAATAGAGAAGTCATCCATATCGACGTCGTCAATGATCCAGTCTCCTCCTCAGTAAGCATTACATCTCCCTCCTCTCCTCTTGCAACTTGTTTCTTCTCCTGGTTAACTGTTGACTGTTTGGAAAAGGCTGAAGCCTGTACACAGTAGAGCCTCCGATAAAGGAAGAAAAACTTCTCGATAAGGACACAGTTTGAGGTCCCTGCATGTTTTACTAGTAATCTCCCAAGTAACCTTCCTTACGGACAAATTGCCTGGTCGCAACATGTCTGTTATTCAGAGGTGTCACTGTATCAACGAAACCTGTGTCAAAGATTAGTGTCACTTCAGGTCACTCGTGTGGACAATAAGACAACAAGGACTCTAGACACGCCCCCCTCTGTAACTCTCTAAACCTCAGGACTACAAGCCGGAGTGGGACCCGGCAAAGGTGCGCTCGCAGAAGGCAGAACGCGGCCCACTCAAACCAGACTGGAAGGAGACTTCTAAACCCATCATGTGCTGCTACAAGCTGGTCGAAGTGGAGTTCAAGTGGTTCGGACTCCAGAGCACCGTCGAATCCAGAGTTCAAAAGGTCAAGCATCTCTCTCTCTCTCGTCTCACCTCTTACTCCATCTTCCTTTTACCCTCCATTTTACTTTACTTGTAGTAATTGAAGGAGCACACCATAAGATTGGTCGATCAGTTGCCCGTTTCAGTTGAACCTGTGTGCAGTGTTTAGCTACACGTGTAGCACCTAGAGCAGAAAAGTTAGTCTACCGAGTCCAGCTTTGCGTATAATGCTGCATCCTGCAATCTGTGTCCCGTGTGACATAATCATGTGCCCTGTACTTCCTGCACATGCAAACTTGCATCAAAGGGTCATGTGTGTCTGTACATTGGTTTTCTGCTTCCTTTGGTAAGCAGACAGATAATATTACACATGGCAATTCCCTGATGAGTGTACTCCCTACTTTTCCATGGAAATTGGAACAATCGTAGAAGTATTTTAAGTATTTTGATCACATGTGTGTGGCATAGTCAGTGAAGAAAACTGCAGCATCACTGTCTGGACCATTGTGGTCAGAAGTACATTCCATGTTGTTATAAATACACAAAAAAGGTTAAGGGAACCATGGTGATGTAATTTTTGGTTTGGTTATGTTAAGCTGGAATTTTCTCCTTGTATATGTTTCTGACCATTAGCTTTGTTCACATTATTTTGAGATGTTTATTCGCACTTGGCTAACTACAAAGATCTGGATGCTGTATGTTGTGTGGGCTTTAGCAGAGACATAAGGATCTAGGTCGCTTCATAAACGATAGGTTTAAGATCCAATGATTGCAAACTGGTGAAAGACTGCACAATTAATCGAAATAGTGCATGACAATAATGTTGCATTTCGAGGGTGTTAGCATCGTTCTGTGCCTAGCCCTGTAGCAGCACACATGGGCAACTAAAATGTTTTGCGGAAACTGTTCTGAATAATAATGGTTAGGTTTTGCGATTCCGAGAATAATTGCCAATTACATTAGTAGCTAGACTTTCATTCCGTCACCCAGCGTCAGCTAGTGTCATATTGTGAACCAGGCTTTAGTTCAAAGGGGTAGATTTGAAGTGGTAATTATGTACTCTCACACACAACTTAACTTAAGTAACTACTGTTTTTGCTGTGGCTCTACTATCTTAATACTGTTCTAGTTACTGTTTTATTATACAGGTGTATCCTCGGTTGTTCAGAAACTTCCACCGTCAGGTATTTTGCTGGCTGGACCAGTGGTACGGGATGACTATGGACGAGATTAGGGCTATTGAGGAAGACACTAAGGCAAAGCTCGATCAGGTATTTGTGCAGTGGGTCCTCTATAGTTGTTTGTCTTGACTTTCTTGGTTTTTTGACGTGTGTTCGTTATTGGTGAGCAAAGCGAGCCTACCTAATCGGTTCACTGAGGGAATTTTAATTTTGTGACGGCACTGTCAGGCACTGCACATACCGTAATGTTCTGCGTGAATGTTAATGCGCGCAAAACAAATGCTCGTGCTCGCTCACCAACGATGTGTTGCATTCCTCTAGTATTCATGATAATTCTACCCACTGATCTAATCAACATGCTGTTGAGATTCTTGCTCAAATCTTACGATTTTGCTCTCTTGCACATTATTGCCGAGGAGTCTCGATATTTGTACTGCTGTATTCTCCCATCTCACAGCAAAGGAGTGAGGGTGCTGTGGTTGGCACAAGTGAACAATGAAAACCTTTTCTTCGCCCCACTTTCCATTGACGATTGTGACTCTTTCCCTAACTATAGCTCATACCGTAAATTGTGTATAATTATTTATTATTGTACGTGTATAGTAATAGTTTTTTTGATTTTCAAGTGACACTGGGGGTTTGCTATCTGTAGCCATGCCATGCAATACAGGTTGAAAGGCATTCATGCGTGCATAATTAATTTGAGCACAGTTCTGATAGCACAAGTTCTGGCACAGCACAAGTTCTGGCGCGCGCGCAGTCTCGTTGCAATCGCCGACTATAAAAGAGCCTGATTCGTTACAGGTGTTATAGGTATATATACGACTTTATTTACAGCTACACAGATAAAAAATAACAGATGAATAGCGCGAAAGATTTCCGTGTCCTGGTGTTCGAGATCGCTGAAAAGCTCACTTACGCCGACTGCGAGACACTGCGCTTCATCCACGGCCTCCCGGAGAAGAACCGCGAGACGGGGGCCGCCCAACTGGAAGTTCTGCGGACTCTTCATCGTCAGGGAGTGTTCACGGACTCTCGAGGTCTGTCCGAGGTACTGCGGACTGCCCACAGAGAAGACCTGGTGATGGAAGTGGAGTGTTTCAAATCGTCGCCTCGTTCCTCCTCCACCGGTTCGCTCTCATGCAGCCCCGTATCGTCGGAAGCCGGGGATCTGACGGCGTATCGTTCCCCAACGCAGCTCCGCGGATTATGCGACGCAAACGTAGCGCAGGCCAACTCCCTGGCGGCCGAGTTGGGAAGAGTCAGGGAGTCCGTACCCAGATCGGGGCTGTCCCGAGAGACACTTGAGAGGCTTTACCGCGAGCTTCTGGAGGTTGAGCAGGCGCTGCAGGCAGCGCTCGGACGTTGCGAGACGATGATGACCTGTTGTACGGTCGCCGATTCAGACTCGCGCAGGGACCCCTGGACGACGGAGAGGAAACTCCCACTCCGTCCCGTTTCAGCTCCCCGAGTAAACCACAACTCTTCTGCCGTGCTGCTCTCGTCCACCCACGATTCGGCGGAGCCAACTACTCACCACATTCGCAGTTCGTCATGCGACGGGCTCTTAGACTTCCATGGTGGCCAAGGCGTGCGGAGGCAGCGGTACAAGATCAGTCTCGGCCACACTTACTACAATCAGTTGTCTCTGGCCACCACCAACGCACAGAGTGATTCTTCAGTCCTTTTTATGAGTAGGAGTTGTTCAAATGGCAGACCGAAAGTCCCCAAAAAGCCAGGTGAGCTTTGTTTTTCTGTCGTTACTGGCAAATCCTAAAGCACTACTTGCTGCAAGCTCACTAACTATAATCCATTCTCTTCAGCTTGGATGCAGAGATCGAGAAGTGTTGATGGTCTTGATGAGGGGTCGTCTTTCCCGACCAGCCACACTCCCTCCCATGCCACCTCGTCTCTCACAGACAACAGTCTTTCCCACAGTTAACCATAGCTTAGTTCTCTCCAATGGACATTATATAGCAATGCTTCATTTCACTTTCACAATGTACAGTGGAACCTCTGAATAATGGACACTTTGGATCAGGCATTTAGGGAGGTTGTCATCTCTTCGGAGGTCAAAAATGATAAAATGTACTAGGATGATAGGAGAGCGAACATTTCAGACTTCAAAGTGGTTCGTTTTTCTACCGCATCCTTTATGCATCATTTACTCCTCGGTGTTCTGTATGGTGTATTTAGCTACTGGAGTTGGCCGAATCATCATGCTGTTGCTAATAAATAATTATGCAAAATGGCTATAGCATACATGAATTTGTCGATCAGTATTATATATTATTTAAGTTACCTAAGCCAAAAATGGCAAGGTTGAAAGGCATTCACGCGTGCATAGTTTGAACACAGTTCCCACTGACCTATTAGTCATTGGCCTATTAGTCACTGCTTGACGATGATGAGCTACTAGGCCGAGGTCTTGCCAATCTAGACAGGAGAGTGTGCTCAACAATATCGTCGTATATCGGCTCATACTCATCACCGGGCTCCGGCAATGTGTAGTCTCTGTTTGTGTTCTGATCCATCGCAGCCTGTTGATCATCAGTAGGAGAATCAGAGGGGGGATCAGGGAGGGGCTTCTCCAGCATTCTTCTTGGAGCTGGGAGTGGTCTAAGCGAGGGAGAGGTACCCGGGAGTTGCTCACTGTCAGAAATATGGGGGAGGGAGATTGTTTTTTTGAGCAGCTTGGAATTCCTTCTGGGTTGTACATCATCGTAGTAATCACTGGCTTCATCTTCGATTTGCTCTGGGCTGATGTAGTCATCCTCGTCACTTTCCTCGCCATTTTCTGGCGTGTCTTCCAGGAGCTCTGGCAAGGAAGAGGGGCGCGATGGAGGATTATTGAATCCCGACCGAGGCAAACATCTAGGACTCCTAGCAACGTGCCCTGTGTTTGGATTGTTCAGTTTTGGTTTGGGCTTCAGTGTAGGCTTGGGCTTCGGGCTGGGCTTCTGTTGTCTGGGTGGTGGTGGTAGTGGTAGAGTGGCTGGTGTTACTACCGAAACTGGTGTGCTGGGGAGAGGTTCAGCATCTTCTTCAGTAAACCATACGTCCACATCCTCTGCAGAAATAAATTTATTAATAGCTAAGCTCTGTTGGAGTCCTGCATTTTCTTTATAGCTCCTCACCGTAATCTTGTTGTTCCCTCTTTTCTTCGTCTCCCGCACTTACGCAGAGCGCCGATGCCTCGAGTAGCTCCAAGTTTGCCTTCTCTTTCAACCTCGCCAGCGCCACCGCCGCCTCGCTGATATCGCCCAGAGCGGCACGCGCCGCTGCCCCGTCCACTCCATCACTGGCGGTGGCCACGCGCAGCGCCTCTAGATGCCGCACCAAAACGTTCGCCTGGCTGATTGCCATCTTGTAGCACATCCTCAGGCGAGAGTCGCTTTCCGTTTCTTCGTTCTCTGACAGTACGCCCTGTTTTGCGTAGCGCGGGCCGTCATCGTCGTGATCTTGCACCAACACCGACTTTTTGTTCCTGTTCCGGATGAAGACTCTCACCAGGTTCGCCAACTGGCGGTTCTTGAGGTCCTTCTCCAGGATGTCTAACAGACCTTCCGGACGTGTAGGGCCGAAGATCTTGGCCTGTTCGAGTGTGGCCAGCACTTCCAGAGTCTGTGGATTGGGAGAGAGCGCCTCTCTCTGGCTGTAGAGCCGAATGTAGATCAGTTTCCGAACCTCTTCGTCCGTCAGTCGCTCCGCCACGCTCACAACGACCCTTCTAAAAGCGAGATTATCCGAGTAGTCATCCATAGGTAATTCTTCTTCTCTACGTACGTTCGCTCTAGCTAGCTCTGCGAGCCACTAGCACTACGCATGCGCAAAAACAGCGGCGTAGCCTCTACGCATGCGCGCAAACCTCGATTTTAGCGCGAGCTCTGTATAAAAAGACTTACGTCGCTCAATCATCCAGCAGTCCGACACGCGAATTCACCTCCAAAATAGCTCTGCTAGCTGCAAAGATGGACCCCAACGAACTAGAGATAGAATTCCGCATTTCCGTCCTCCGTTTAGCGGAACGCCTATCTGACACGGAAACCAACAAACTGGTCTACATCTGCAAGCTCCCGCCGCAATACAAAGACAAACAGCCGATGGTCGTCCTCGAATACATGCACAACATGGGAATCTTTTCCGCCACAAAGTTGGATAACTTTGCGCGGCTCTTGAAGGAGATCAAACGCGACGACCTGTCGAGAACGGTGGAAAAGTACTCCAAAACGAAAAAGACCCGCAAGATGTGCGCCAAGGCCCGCGCGAGTTCACCTGAAGCAGATCCGTCGCTCACGACCAGCTCGCAGGCGACGTTCGAGGTGTTCAACATTCAGAGCAAGATCACGAGAGACGTGATGGACCAGATGATGAAGCGGCACAACGATATGGGGCTGAGGGTCAGACAGCGAGCAATGCACGATTTAGAATGCCTGGTAAAAAGTGCCCAAGACTTGATGAAGGAGCTGAGTACCCAATCTAATGCGAAAGGTATACCTATTAGCTATAATGAGACTGTTTGGTTACTGCATTTAAAAATTGCAGATGTTCAAGAAGGTGGCGAAGATAGTTATATTTACAGTGTCCCGCACTTTGATGATGTCGACAGTGGTGATGACTCCAAATCCTCTCCTCCAGAGTACACGTACATTGAAAACGATCCTCCCCCAGTATCTGTAGCCTTCCAGCATGACCAGCAGCCAGCAGGGAGGGCAGCCACTCTGCCTCATGCTGCCGCTCAACTTGTCACAGGGCTCTCTGCTGGCCAGGTGGGGGTGAAAGACAGATTCAAGCTTCAGAAACCCCAAAACCCTTCCTAAACCACAGAAACACAGGGCAGAAGGTGTGTGCAATTCTTTTTTTGTGTTCTGTGGTCTGGGAGTCAACAATAACTCTCTCTCTCTCTGTCAGGGAGTACTGCCCTGGTGAGTTCCAGGGTTGTCCCCTCATCAGTGCCACATAATCCAGGTATATATAGTAGTCTTTTACCACCCTCAAAACAAACTCTATATTATTTGTGTGTCCTACAATAGCTATTGACCTGAGTGATCTCAAACAGAAGAAGTCATCTCTCAGGAAATCTGGGAGTGCTCAGAAGAGTTCCCTCCACAGTAGTCCCAGTCTCAGCAGCATGGACTCTGACTACACTGGAGGTAGCTCTGCCAGCTACACTGGAGGATCGGACACGACTGGGTCGACTGACGACAGTGGATTTGGTGGAGATATATACATGAATGTACGCGAGGCGGCAGACGAGTACATGAACACTCAGTGTTCAACCTGAACATTAGTTTTAGGTAGCATAGCTATAGTGATTGTGATGTTTGGCTTAGGTTTAGGTAGTAGTAATTATGTGATGTCATTAATTTAGCTAGTTGAGTTTCTCCCTTTGGCCTCATCTATCCAGACATGAACAGATTTGAGCACGCTGACACCCCCAACCCCATCCATCACACAATCCCTATATTGTTGCCTAGGTGAAGTATTAAACACATTCACCATTACAATATATACTCAGAACTTATAATACAAGAAAGACATGCTACTGAGTAACCAACACCGTTATAGAGTTCAAATTAAAGGGACTGTGGCAGTCTAAAAACAACAGGGACACGGTGAAAGAATGCTTGCTTATATAATGTCATATTCCCTATAAGAGTAGCACACCAGGCAACGATATAGGGATTGTGTGATGGGGTTGGGAGAGTCAGAGTGCTCAAATCTGTTCATTAACCATGCTCCATGTATCCCATCCCTATCTTGTCTCCCTCACCAATGGAGAGCAGGCCCCCTGTTCAGATTTTTGTCCCGCGAACAAAATGCGCATGCGCGGCTGCTTGCGCGCGCGCAGGTATAAAAGCACGAGGTTTTCGCCACTCGAGTCACTAACACTGTTATGGAGAGACAGAGTTTAGTCGTCGGTTGGCGGATGGCTTGACGGTGATGGAAAACGAACAGGTTCGTCAGTCGCTCCCCGGTGCGAGACTATAGCAAAGATAAGAGTCAAGCAGAAGAGTATGTATGGTGGGCATAATAGTCATCGTCTCCACGACGCAGCTGATCGATATCGAGCCTGCAGGTCGTCCGTGTCACTCCCGGCTGCCCCGCCTCCTCCTGGCGCCACTGCCTTCTTCTGTGCCTGAGTCTGTTGGATGTGAGGTTTCTCGAGAGTTCGTGGTCCAGGGAAATTCCGTCCAGAACTGTTGGACTACGACCTCTGACTCCTCCTCTTCATCGTCGTCTGTCATCGATGGTGTCGGAAATTGTCTCTTCCTTGCGATCATGATCTCGCTCTCTCGCTCAAACTGCATCATGACCTTCTGGGAGTTGGGGGGGTTCATCTTCCTTGTTCATACCTGCGCAGGGCTTTTGTCACCCCTTTCATAGCATTGCCATGGCAGCCTGTGACTTCAATGTTCTGAATCTTGAGTGCGATGCCCTGGATGTTGGCCTCATCAGTATGAACCGCTTCACGAAACTCTGAGTTTGCACCAGATCCTTGGCCATGATCTTCACCGCCTCCATCTGCCCGCTCTTGACCATCTTCCTGATGTCGACGACCAGTTCCTTCTCCTGTCTCTCCAGCTGGTCCAACTCCCGTCCAACTCCCGCATTACCTTGTTCAAGGCTCGCCGGTTTCTGCCGAAGCAGCTCCTCCGGAGTCTTTCTCTTCACAAACAGCCTGTCCATCCCAGTATACTGCCTCTCTCTAGCTCTCTAAGCAACCTTCAATGTCGGGTTGGAGCACTACGTGGTTGATTCTGGAGACGGGGAGACCACGTACGTATCAGTGCCTGAAAGAGGTGGAGGAGGCCGAAAGAGTATAACTTTCTCTGGCTCTCCAAGTCTATTTGCCTAGAAAGAGGTGAAATGTTGTATGCTGTCACCCACTGAACAGCATCAGTAGCAGCAGCTGGAGCAACGTAGTTGCTGAATATTATGTGAAATGTCGAGATCTAAACGTTGATCCACATGATATATTGTGTAATCATCCACTTGTTGAACCATGACAGATTTATTACACAGGTGAAGCATCCGTATTGTTGGACACCAAAATAAGGCCACATATGTAGGGCAGCATGGGAAACAGCGCTGAGACTACTCTAAGAATCACACGCATGCGCGCAGGTCCGTGACACACGTGTTTTTAATTTCGCGCCATTTTAGAAAACGCGGCGGAAATTGGTTGTTCGATCGATCGCCCGCCCGCTCCGCGGTAAAACCGGTAAGACCTAATCGGGCAATAAAGCTGCATTATCTGCAGCACCGGATCAGATTCGCGAGCTAGCTCTGTATAAAAAGACTTACGTCGCTCAATCATCCAGCAATCCGACACGCGAATTCACCTCCAAAATAGCTCTGCTAGCTGCAAAGATGGACCCCAACGAACTAGAGATAGAATTCCGCATTTTCGTCCTCCGTTTAGCGGAACGCCTATCTGACACGGAAACCAACAAACTGGTCTACATCTGCAAGCTCCCGCCGCAATACAAAGACAAACAGCCGATGGTCGTCCTCGAATACATGCACAACATGGGAGTCTTTTCCGCCACAAAGTTGGATAACTTTGCGCGGCTCTTGAAGGAGATCAAACGCGACGACCTGTCGAAAACGGTGGAAAAGTACTCCAAAACGAAAAAGACCCGCAAGATGTGCGCCAAGGCCCGCGCGAGTTCCCCTGAAGCAGATCCGTCGCTCACGACCAGCTCGCAGGCGACGTTCGAGGTGTTCAACATTCAGAGCGAGATCACGAGAGACGTGATGGACCAGATGATGAAGCGGCACAACGATATGGGGCTGAGGGTCAGACAGCGAGCAATGCACGATTTAGAATGCCTGGTAAAAAGTGCCCAAGACTTGAAGAAGGAGCTGAGTACCCAATCTAATGCGAAAGGTATACCTATTAGCTATAATGAGACTGTTTGGTTACTGCATTTAAAAATTGCAGATGTTCAAGAAGGTGGCGAAGATGGTTATATTTACAGTGTCCCGCACTTTGATGATGTCGACAGTGGTGATGACTCCAAATCCTCTCCTCCAGAGTACATGTACATTGAAAACGATCCTTCCCCAGTATCTGTAGCCTTCCAGCATCACCAGCAGCCAGCAGGGAGGGCAGCCACTCTGCCTCATGCTGCCGCTCAACTTGTCACAGGGCTCTCTGCTGGCCAGGTGGGGGTGAAAGACAGATTCAAGCTTCAGAAACCCCAAACCCTTCCTAAACCACAGAAACACAGGGCAGAAGGTGTGTGCAATTCTTTTTTTGTGTTCTGTGGTCTGGGAGTCAACAATAACTCTCTCTCTGTCAGGATCAGGAAGTACTGCCCTGGTGAGTCCCAGGGTTGTCCCCTCATCAGTGCCACATAATCCAGGTATGGTAGTCTTTTACCACCCTCAAAACAAACTCTATATTGTGTGTCCTACAATAGCTATTGACCTGAGTGATCTCAAACAGAAGAAGTCATCTCTCAGGAAATCTGGGAGTGCTCAGAAGAGTTCCCTCCACAGTAGTCCCAGTCTCAGCAGCATGGACTCTGACTACACTGGAGGTAGCTCTGCCAGCTACACTGGAGGATCGGACACGACTGGGTCGACTGGCGACAGTGGATTTGGTGGAGACACTAACCCGTTCCTCAAAGTCAGCATCGGAGGACGACATAACCCGAAAAAAGCCAACCGGGAAACTATACTACAAAAGGCTCGAAACCCCAGACGATGTTGACTGTTACACCAACGTCGCCAAGGGCGACTCTCAAGGTGGCTTGGGACCTGATTACAGTTGTGCATGTTTATCTTACCAGTAATAAAGTGATCCCTGGGTGTTCCCCCCATTATGAAATCACTATTGCCCACCCACATGTCAACAACCTGTTTAGATAACCCTATGCTATACTATTGTACCTATATAGTAGCCTGATGCATGTTTTGTTTTCTATCTCACACAGAGAACCCCTATGAAGAACCGATGAAAAAGGATGTCACATACATGAATGTACGCGAGGCGGCAGACGAGTACATGAACACTCAGCGTTCAACCTGAACATTAGTTTTAGGTAGCATAGCTATAGTGATTGTGATGTTTGGCTTAGGTTTAGGTAGTAGTAATTATGTGATGTCATTAATTTAGCTAGTTGAGTTTCTCCCTTTGGCCTCATCTATCCAGACATGAACAGATTTGAGCACGCTGACACCCCCAACCCCATCCATCACACAATCCCTATATTGTTGCATAGGTGAAGTATTAAACACATTCACCATTACAATATATACTCAGAACTTATAATACAAGAAAGTCATGCTACTGAGTAACCAACACCGTTATAGAGTTCAAGTGGAGTTTAATTAAAGGGACTGTGGCAGTCTAAAAACAACAGGGACACGGTGAAAGAATGCTTGCTTATATAATGTCATATTCCCTATAAGTATAGGGATTGTGTGATGGCGTTGGGAGAGTCAGAGTGCTCAAATCTGTTCATTTACTATGCTCCATGTATCCCTATCTTGTCTCCCTCACCAATGGAGCAGACCCCCTGTTCAGATTTTTGTCCCGCGCGAACAAAATGCGCATGCGCGGCTGCTTGCGCGCGCGCAGGTATAAAAGCACGAGGTTCTCGCCACTCGACTCACTAACACTGTTATGGAGAGACAGAGTTTAGTCGTCGGTTTGGCGGATGGCTTGACGGTGATGGAAACGAACAGGTTCGTCAGTCGCTCCCCGGTGCGAGACTATAGCAAAGATAAGAGTCAAGCAGAAGAGTATGTATGGTGGGCATAATTAGTCATCGTCTCCACGACGCAGCTGATCGATATCGAGCCTGCAGGTCGTCCCTGTCACTCCCGGCTGCCCCGCCTCCTCCTGGCGCCACTGCCTTCTTCTGTGCCTGAGTCTGTTGGATGTGAGGTTTCTCGAGAGTTCGTGGTCCAGGGAAATTCCGTCCAGAACTTGTTGGACTACGACCTCTGACTCCTCCTCTTCATCGTCGTCTGTCATCGATGGTGTCGGAAATTGTCTCTTCCTTGAGATCCATGATCTCGCTCTCTCGCTCAAACTGCATCATGACCTTCTGGAGTTGGGGGAGGTTCATCTTCTTGTTCATACTGCGCAGGGCTTTTGTCACCCCTTTCATAGCATTTGCCATGGCAGCCTGTGACTTCAATGTCTGAATCTTGAGTGCGATGCCCTGGATGTTGGCCTCATCAGTATGAACCGCTTCACGAAACTCTGAGTTTGCACCAGATCCTTGGCCATGATCTTCACCGCCTCCATCTGCCCGCTCTTGACCATCTTCCTGATGTCGACGACCAGTTCCTTCTCCTGTCTCTCCAGCTGGTCCAACTCCCGGTCCAACTCCCGCATTACCTTGTTCAAGGCTCGCCGGTTCTGCCGAAGCAGCTCCTCCGGAGTCTTTCTCTTCCCAAACAGCCTGTCCATCCCAGTATACTGCCTCTCTCTAGCTCTCTAAGCAACCTTCAATGTCGGGTTGGAGCACTTACGTGGTTGATTCTGGAGACGGGGAGACCACGTACGTATCAGTGCCTGAAAGAGGTGGAGGAGGCCGAAAGAGTATAACTTTCTCTGGCTCTCCAAGTCTATTTGCCCAGAAAGAGGTGAAATGTTGTATGCTGTCACCCACTGAACAGCATCAGTAGCAGCAGCTGGAGCAACGTAGTTGCTGAATATTATGTGAAATGTCGAGATCTAAACGTTGATCCACATGATATATTGTGTAATCATCCACTTGTTGAACCATGACAGATTTATTACACAGGTGAAGCATCCGTATTGTTGGACACCAAAATAAGGCCACATATGTAGGGCAGCATGGGAAACAGCGCTGAGACTACTCTAAGAATCACACGCATGCGCGCAGGTCCGTGACACACGTGTTTTTAATTTCGCGCCATTTTAGAAAACGCGGCGGAAATTGGTTGTTCGATCGATCGCCCGCCCGCTCCGCGGTAAAACCGGTAAGACCTAATCGGGCAATAAAGCTGCATTATCTGCAGCACCGGATCAGATTCGCGAGCTAGCTCTGTATAAAAAGACTACGTCGCTCATCATCCAGCAATCGACACGCGAATTCACCTCCAAAATAGCTTGCTAGCTGCAAAGATGGACCCCAACGAACTAGAGATAGAATTCCGCATTTTCGTCCTCCGTTTAGCGGAACGCCTATCTGACACGGAAACCAACAAACTGGTCTACATCTGCAAGCTCCCGCCGCAATACAAAGACAAACAGCCGCTGGTCGTCCTCGAATACATGCACAACATGGGAGTCTTTTCCGCCACAAAGTTGGATAACTTTGCGCGGCTCTTGAAGGAGATCAAACGCGACGACCTGTCGAGAACGGTGGAAAAGTACTCCAAAACGAAAAAGACCCGCAAGATGTGCGCCAAGGCCCGCGCGAGTTCCCCTGAAGCAGATCCGTCGCTCACGACCAGCTCGCAGGCGACGTTCGAGGTGTTCAACATTCAGAGCAAGATCACGAGAGACGTGATGGACCAGATGATGAAGCGGCACAACGATATGGGGCTGAGGGTCAGACAGCGAGCAATGCACGATTTAGAATGCCTGGTAAAAAGTGCCCAAGACTTGAAGAAGGAGCTGAGTACCCAATCTAATGCGAAAGGTATACCTATTAGCTATAATGAGACTGTTTGGTTACTGCATTTAAAAATTGCAGATGTTCAAGAAGGTGGCGAAGATAGTTATATTTACAGTGTCCCGCACTTTGATGATGTCGACAGTGGTGATGACTCCAAATCCTCTCCTCCAGAGTACACGTACATTGAAAACGATCCTCCCCCAGTATCTGTAGCCTTCCAGCATCACCAGCAGCCAGCAGGGAGGGCAGCCACTCTGCCTCATGCTGCCGCTCAACTTGTCACAGGGCTCTCTGCTGGCCAGGTGGGGGTGAAAGACAGATTCAAGCTTCAGAAACCCCAAACCCTTCCTAAACCACAGAAACACAGGGCAGAAGGTGTGTGCAATTCTTTTTTTGTGTTCTGTGGTCTGGGAGTCAACAATAACTCTCTCTCTCTCTGTCAGGGAGTACTGCCCTGGTGAGTTCCAGGGTTGTCCCCTCATCAGTGCCACATAATCCAGGTATATATAGTAGTCTTTTACCACCCTCAAAACAAACTCTATATTATTTGTGTGTCCTACAATAGCTATTGACCTGAGTGATCTCAAACAGAAGAAGTCATCTCTCAGGAAATCTGGGAGTGCTCAGAAGAGTTCCCTCCACAGTAGTCCCAGTCTCAGCAGCATGGACTCTGACTACACTGGAGGTAGCTCTGCCAGCTACACTGGAGGATCGGACACGACTGGGTCGACTGACGACAGTGGATTTGGTGGAGATATATACATGAATGTACGCGAGGCGGCAGACGAGTACATGAACACTCAGTGTTCAACCTGAACATTAGTTTTAGGTAGCATAGCTATAGTGATTGTGATGTTTGGCTTAGGTTTAGGTAGTAGTAATTATGTGATGTCATTAATTTAGCTAGTTGAGTTTCTCCCTTTGGCCTCATCTATCCAGACATGAACAGATTTGAGCACGCTGACACCCCCAACCCCATCCATCACACAATCCCTATATTGTTGCCTAGGTGAAGTATTAAACACATTCACCATTACAATATATACTCAGAACTTATAATACAAGAAAGACATGCTACTGAGTAACCAACACCGTTATAGAGTTCAAATTAAAGGGACTGTGGCAGTCTAAAAACAACAGGGACACGGTGAAAGAATGCTTGCTTATATAATGTCATATTCCCTATAAGAGTAGCACACCAGGCAACGATATAGGGATTGTGTGATGGGGTTGGGAGAGTCAGAGTGCTCAAATCTGTTCATTAACCATGCTCCATGTATCCCATCCCTATCTTGTCTCCCTCACCAATGGAGAGCAGACCCCCTGTTCAGATTTTTGTCCCGCGAACAAAATGCGCATGCGCGGCTGCTTGCGCGCGCGCAGGTATAAAAGCACGAGGTTTTCGCCACTCGAGTCACTAACACTGTTATGGAGAGACAGAGTTTAGTCGTCGGTTTGGCGGATGGCTTGACGGTGATGGAAACGAACAGGTTCGTCAGTCGCTCCCCGGTGCGAGACTATAGCAAAGATAAGAGTCAAGCAGAAGAGTATGTATGGTGGGCATAATTAGTCATCGTCTCCACGACGCAGCTGATCGAGACGAGCCTGCAGGTCGTCCGTGTCACTCCCGGCTGCCCCGCCTCTTACTGACGCCACTGCCTTCTTCTGTGCCTGAGTCTGTTGGATGTGAGGTTTCTCGAGAGTTCGTGGTCCAGGGAAATTCCGTCCAGAACTTGTTGGACTATGACCTCTGACTCCTCCTCTTCATCGTCGTCTGTCATCGATGGTGTCGGAAATTGTCTCTTCCTTGAGATCCATGATCTCGCTCTCTCGCTCAAACTGCATCATGACCTTCTGGAGTTGGGGGAGGTTCATCTTCTTGTTCATACTGCGCAGGGCTTTTGTCACCCCTTTCATAGCATTTGCCATGGCAGCCTGTGACTTCAATGTCTGAATCTTGAGCGCGATGCCCTGGATGTTGGCCTCATCAGTATGAACCGCTTCACGAAACTCCGCATTCGCACCAGATCCTTGGCCATGATCTTCACCGCCTCCATCTGCCCGCTCTTGACCATCTTCCTGATGTCGACGACCAGTTTCTTCTCCTGTCTCTCCAGCTGGTCCCTCTCCCGGTCCAACTCCCGCATTACCTTGTTCAAGGCTCGCTGGTTCTGCCGAAGCAGCTCCTCCGGAGTCTTTCTCTTCCCAAACAGCCTGTCCATCCCAGTATACTGCCTCTCTCTAGCTCTCTAAGCAACCTTCAATGTCGGGTTGGAGCACTTACGTGGTTGATTCTGGAGACGGTGAGACCACGTACGTATCAGTGCCTGAAAGAGGTGGAGGAGGCCGAAAGAGTATAACTTTCTCTGGCTCTCCAAGTCTATTTTCCTAGAAAGAGGTGAAATGTTGTATGCTGTCACCCACTGAACAGCATCAGTAGCAGCAGCTGGAGCAACGTAGTTGCTGAATATTATGTGAAATGTCGAGATCTAAACGTTGATCCACATGATATATTGTGTAATCATCCACTTGTTGAACCATGACAGATTTATTACACAGGTGAAGCATCCGTATTGTTGGACACCAAAATATGGCCACATAATATGTAGGGCAGCATGGGAAACAGCGCTCGCTGAGATCTAAGAATCCCACGCATGCGCGCAGGTCCGTGACGCACGTGTTTTTAATTTCGCGCCATTTTAGAAAACGCGGCGGAAATTGGTTGTTCGATCGATCGCCCGCTCCGCGGTAAAACCGGTAAGACCTAATCGGGCAATAAAGCTGCATTATCTGCAGCACCGGATCAGATTCGTGAAGTTAATGTCGGCCGACGGCCACTGACTCTCGCACTAGCACTGCTGCAACGTTTCACTAAAAAGAGTAGTACAGGTAGAACTCTAGGACATAGTAGAAATCGACCGGGAAGGACTCGGCGAATTATGGCGACAGAATTCAGAAACTTGCTGCTGAAGATCTCCAAGCAGCTCAAGAAACACGATGTGGAGGCCATCGTATCGGCCGCTCGACTCCCGCGCGAGATGCGGGAGCAATCGGCGGAGACGGTACTGACCAAAGTCGGCGGGAACGGCGATCTCTCAGTCGCTAACATAGACGCAGTCATCGACGTGATGAGACAAATCGGAAAGAGCGATCTGTACAAGGAGGTGAAGATGTTCAAGAAGAAATCACGGAAGAAGCTCATGGACGGCACGAGCCAGCCAGCGCCGCCGGCGACGACTGGCGAAACGGGCTCCGAGAATAACTTCGACGTGGCCGAAAGAGAGGCGTTCCAGTTACTCAACACCTTGGAGAAGCTTGAAGGTGCCGAGGTAGTAGTCGGCGTAGACAGAATCAAAGAACTTCATTCAGAAGCAAAGGAACTGGCCGAGAATCTACTCCGAGTAGTCCGCCGCGCGAACGTCCTCTCGCGGGCGGCAGATCCGCGCAGCAGCCCCCCGTCGCTTACCTCGTCCGCCGAGTGTTCGGACGTCGTAGCGGAGGCTTCTCCGCCAGAAGCATCCACGGCAGGGTTCAGGGAGCGACTGACGCGTAGACTGCAGGGCAGCAACAGGTCGAAAGTCTCCAAGGAGAGGACGCCGTCGCCGAAATCACAGCGAAAGCTGAAGAGAAGTGAGTAGACTTTCGCTGCGTGCTGCATGCTGTGCGCCGTCCTCTTGCCGTCGATTTAGTTTGCAAACATCTCTGCTTTTGCAGGTCAGACGGACGTGGCCATTGGAGCCGTCAAGACGCATCCCTCAACCTCCACTCTGCGGCTATCCCCACCTTCCCGCCCCGCCGCTGGCTCTGACTCTGAGGACGACGACTACCACGAATACACACAGCCTGACTGGCCTGCGGGCTCGCCAGTGGGGGCTGTTGTACATACCCTGCCCCAGCAGGTACCGCAGAGAAAGCATGCTAAGACGCTCCCTCGGGGCCCCATCTCCTCCGGAAGCAGTTTTGGGAAGAAAGACACCACAGTCCTCGGTAAGTCCTCTATCCTCTGTGTTTAGCTTTAAAGACTAAGGGAGGGAGAGAGAGAAAGGAGTGTATGTTTACTTTCCTAATACAAAGCTTGAATGAGCACCAGTGTCTGTTTTAGTGTTTTGCACTGTTTGTCAAATATCTGTCTTCCTTGCGCAGCTACCCTTCCCAGAAAGAACAGCAAGAACGGTGTTGGACCAGACCAGGTTCCCCTGCCTCCCCAGGAGCGCCCGCCACAGGACCTCTCTGATAGCGACCTTGACTACGACGATGTAATCGGAGTCCTTGACATGTACAACTCAGAGAAGGTCAACGGGAGCACGCCACGCAGCAAGCCACGGTCTTTACACCCCGAAGGATTTAGAGGAAACATCACACGCAACGAACCATCTCCCACCTGTAGTACACCGAGCAGTGAAGTTGCCAGTCCGCCACCCACCCTACCCAAGCCCAATTTAAAAACGCTCGCCGGAAAGGGAGCTGTTTCTCCAAACATCACTCCTGCCATCCCAATCCGTGGAAGTGAGACCAACTATTTAAACCTGTGGGACAGTTGTTTAGCAATGTGCCATGTCCTTTCTTGCAGGCTCACTGAAGTCGGGCCAACAAGCCACCACAGCACCCACAGGCTCTACTCACACCTCCAGATCTCTCCAATCCAGCCTACCACAACCCTCTCGCTCTGAAACAACCACCCCTAACCAACCCAGTAAGTGGGAGGTTCCTTCCTTTGTTCCTGCCCTTTGTTCACTAGCAGCCAATGCAATCTTATGGGTGTGTATATACAGTACAGAGCTATGGCTAGTAGTACAGTTTATTGGGACGACTGTGCTTGGCCAAGTAGGTAATGGTGCGTGTTGTGATTTTTCTTTCTTCTCTGGACTACAGTGGTGGATATTCAGCAGGCCCTGAAGTTGAAGCAGATGACGGGAAGTCCACAGAGCTTTGGCAGTAGTGTCGGAGGTGGGAGCGATCGTGTGTCCCCGCACCCTGTCAGCCTCGCAAAGGCACTCGAAATGTCAACCAGCGCTGGCTTCAACTCTGAGTGCAACGACTCGTGCAACTGTACCGGGGACAGCGGTTTTGATGAGTTCACGCCAGTGGCCGCCGCATGGAACAAGAGCGTGCCACCACCACCTCTGCGACCAAAACCAAAGACTTCGAAGCAACACGCAGAGCAGCAGCAACAGAGCTATACGAACATCACCATTCTCAGCCCCACCTCCCCACCGTCACCTCCTCACCACACCTCCATATCGCACCTGGCACCTACCTACGGCTCCAACAACACGACCCCCTCCCCACCCACAACTGATCACACCACGATATCGCCCATGGGCCCCATGTACAACACCATCACCATTGAAGAGCAGAGTCAAGGTAAATTAGTGCAGCCACCATAATGTAATTAAAGGGAGACCTCTCGTTATTTCAACTACACTTGGAGTGCAGCTAAATTAAGTGAAATACTCTTTTCTCCCCTTCTCACCAGATTCAGGACCAGAGGACGATAACTGCCCGGACTACGTGAATGTAAAGCAGTACGTAGAGCCCACATGATGACACAGTCTCCCCAGACCTCTATTGCTGCTATCACCCCCACCCTACAAACACAATTCACCTCTCACCATTTAGTGTGTGTGTGTGTGTGTGTGTGTGTGAAATCTGCCTACTAAACCACCCCTCATGCACTGCCGCTGCCATGCCTGTGTATTATACACTGTGTGTATTGCATTTTTCCGTGTGTCCCATATTTCCTTATGACTGAGTTAAGGAAGTCAATATTCATCATTGTCATCACTTGCATGGCATACAAAACCTTCACCAGTTGATACAGTTTGTGATCATTTTGTGTCCATTTGTGTCTGAAAACAGCTCCCTAAATTATTATCTTTGTGTCCCTCTCTTCATCTCTTCTTCAGCCATAATATTATTTCCCCCCATTTGAAAACCTGCACAACAAGATTAATTTATTTTGATCAAAGTCAAAATGTCATACATTTGCATGAATGAATGAGTTTACCACATGTTATCAGGTGATCTAATTATGGCCTTGAAAAACTTTAATGGGTGAGGTTATTAGAGCAGATGTGCCTTTGTCAGTCTTACCACTGCTGTCTACAGTTCAGGGTGCGGTAGACTCGTAGCTCCAGGGATGACTGGCCAATGAGACTAACACACAGCCCCTTCTTCAGTCTGGAATCTCTTGGATAAGGTTACTTCAGCAGGAGCAGCATATGGACCAATGGCCTGTGGTAGAGAGGAATGGACTGACCTTAGATTTGAGCTTGGAGAGTTGTATGTATAGTGCAAAACAACTGAGCTGGAGCATGTAGAGTGACTTGACCACATCCCTTGTGGTGCATCTCTTTGGGGTGATTAGTGTTTAATTGCTCCAACTGGACCTATTATTATTGCAAAAGAAGAAACCTGCCAGGGCAGCTTTTAAGGCTAGTTCACCACATACTCTCCAAAAAGAGGACCACATTTTGGAGTGACCTCATTTTACCCACTATTAGGTTACCTTAAATGCCCATAATTCATCCACAATTAAGCCTAGATCCAATTTAATAAGAAAAAACACAAACACAGCCAGAGCCTCAGCTTCCCTGACACCTGTTCCTTCACAAGGCATGCAATTACACATCTCATCTGCAGAGTGAGGCATGCAGTACTAGTCACATGGAGGCACTCCTAACCCACCACAGGACCATTTTTGTACAGAGTCTGGTGCAAGACACTGCAGGAAGCACCTTCAACGTGTTTGTCAAGAGGATGTTTCCAGTCACGCTCTTCCTTACAGAAAGTACCTGCTGCAGATTTCATCACATCTTAACAAATACCAGTATTGTTGTGGAGTTGCTTCCTGTATAATATGCTGAACCCTCCCTCTACAGGAGGATAGATGGAAGTGATACAGGATGTGAACAAAACAGGTAGGTTTGCATATTCATTAGGCCTGCAACACCATACTTCCAGCTTGCTAGATGTACAGGCTGCAATTCTGATATGCGACTACAGTAACAATTGTGTAGCCTTGTTAACTGAACTTCAACAACATATAGCCAGTTTGTCTGCCCACTGCAAAATTATAATTTGTCGCTTCCATTTCACACTCAAGAAAAAGTTATTGTTGTTCAGGTCTGTGCCCAGGTGAAAATCAGCCACAGGTCTAAGAGGCAGAGTCAGCAGAGTCAGCCCGCTCAGATAAGACTAGAGTTAATATACCTCCCTCCCTCTTCCTCTCTGAAACTGACAGGAAGCAGGGACACTGGGGGCTATCAATTCATCTAATATTATTGTGTGATCTCTGGCCACAGAACCACAGTGCTATACCCAAGGCTCCCCAGAGGCTCCCCACATAAACAAGAGACCTGTAGAAATTGTACTCTGGGCAGCAGCTATCTGTAACTGGTCACCCTGGAGAGCCCACACACACATGCAGCGCAGAGAGAGGGGAAGGAAGCTATCTAGCCATGTAAACAGGAAGCACCCTTCCCTTGGAACGTCCTCTGTGTTGGCCCTAGCATTATGTATACAAGCCCCCAGCTAGCAATATACCTGCAAACAGCCCCCTCTATAAGAGCAAAGATGTGTCCCACCTACGTAGATATACTTGCCCCCCCTACACAACATATCATACTGATACTTCCTGCACAACAGCTATCTCTTCAACGAGAGCGTGTGACCAGTTGTGAGACATTTGAAGTGTACACAAGCAAGTACAGACCTATATACTGATGGCCTTGAATGGATACACAGCACAGCACAGTAGGAACACGACTGGCTCTTCAAGGCGACAAATTAGCCTTCACAGACACAGAAACACATCTTGCACAATATATGTCCTCACATACTACAACCACCAATTGTTCCTCCTACATGTGTGTGTGTATTATATATGTGTGTCCTTGCTTATCAGATGACATGCTGGTTTGAGCAGAAATGCTAATCCTGTGTGACTGTATCCTAGATTTGGAGTGATAGGTTGTAAACAATACGGACGGGCATACCCCCATGAGTTGCTTGTCAATCTACGTGTAAGGGACACTAGACTTGGCTAATAACATCAGGAATGGGCCCGCAGACATCTCTGGATCCACGGCTAAACTGAAAGTATGGAACCACAGTGCATAGCCATACATGTCTGAGTTCCGGCGTGTTGTATTGTTATTAAGGTGGTGGTGTTACGTAAGGTTACGCAAGGTTACGCAGTTTCCCGGAATTCTTTGGCTTTACTCAGACAATAGGGCCAAGAATCTGCACCCAGTTTGGCATTGGCAGTGACCCAGGGAACCAAAGGCTACACACCGAGACAGTAATTACTGCCGGTGTTGAGGTTACTAGCAACAAAAAACACATGGCAGATGCAGCTCGGTTTTCCAAACAACATATGGGAGTCAGTTAGGTCACACACCTCACTTACGATAATTACGGACATTCCACTTGGGAAAGACTGTAAGGAAGATTATGAATGGGGTCTGTCGGTGAAAGCAGAAGGAAGCCTACAATAGATATGCCAGTGGCCCATACTAAGGACAATATATGTACATTGCTATTGTCCAACGCAAACATCATTCTGAATGGAAACTTCATAGGGAAGGCCAGTGAATGAACTGAACAAGGAGACTATCCCCACCACACAATGGAGTGAATTCTCCTTAGCTCCAGTCAAAGCTATGCCACCCTGACAACCTACATCCAAACATGCCATGGCTTGTAAACAATCACAAGGTTGTTGTAATTCATGTATGTTTAGGTGTAAACATGAGGCTATCAGCGATTCCAATCTCTGCCTGGCAGACAGAGAGCTGTGATTATGGTCACCAGTCCAGACATCAAGTCACCACACAATGGGTGTTGTCTGTGCACACTCCGAACCAGTGACGAGAGAGGGTGGGAGTGCCATTTAGGCCACTGGTTTGAAGGCAACACACAGTCCACATGCTCACGTGGAATGACCATACGAGAAGAAGCTAAGCTACAAGAAGTGTACGTAAGCCAAGAAGCTTAGCCTGGTTGGACTCCAAGCCAAAAAGAGAGATGGGGAGCCCAGAAACATGATTTACAATCAGGGGCAATGTGGTGTTCAGGGTATGCTTAGCTTGACCACAATGGTTAGTGTAACCACAGCCCTACAAGAACCGCACCTGAGGAAATGAAGAGTAGGATTTAAATAAGCAAGAGAGACAGATGAACAACTTTATCTTTCACCTTCCTCTTCCTTCCTCCTCATTCAGCTACCAATGATCATTGATCTCTCTCTCCTCAACCTCTTGCACGTGGAAAGCAGACATTTAGAGCTATAATTATATTGTATTGTTAGTTGGCATGGGGTGTGCAGAGCAGGCACACACCCTGTCCACTGTTCATGGCACAGAGTGCTCCCACACCCCACGAAAACACAAGAATTTGTGGGCCTTACTGGATAGTTTGACACACACACCCTACAGAGTTTGAGCCAAGTCGTCTCAACGGTCACTGAAAATTCCAGTGGGCTAAACTCTTCAAGATCAGCACATGTATTTGTGTATTTGTGTAGTGTCCGGCAGTGACACAAGACAGAGGAAATACGTGACATTCTAGACAGGTTCATTAGCCTCTAAATACCTTCCAAGAATTCTTGTGAGAATCCTCACTCCTTCTCTACATTCCCAGTTACTGCAGCAGCACATCAGCAAATCCTTATGACTGCAAGAGCACTACAATGCCAATCCATGTGCCGCTTCCCCCCTATAATCAAATGCTCTAATGATGATTGCAGGGGGTTCTCTGTGTGCAAACCTTGGAATCCTAAGCCTCTAGTTAGTGGTTTTTATGGGATACTAAAAAAGCTAGGGGATAGGCAGGCATTTTATGGTAGGCCAGGCTATTATAGTAGTCAAGCATCTTAGGCTTGTATGAAATTCTTGTGTACTTGCATTGTAGGCCCCACAAAGAAAGAATATACAATGAGAGACAACAGGATCATCCCCCATTATAAAACCAGTCTGCCCAGTTTTCATTCAGGTTTGCAGACAACATTGCGTGTCCGCCCCGTGCGGGCTCCCATCGCCGTCAAAGCCCGCGCTGCTGCACACACCACCCCCATAGCAGAAAGGGGCGTGCTGCACACTTCTCACACGATGGCTAGCTACCCCGAAAAAGATTCATGCTGCTTTGCTACAGAGTGGCTACAAGGGGATGGACTACGCACACACACGCACATACAGATGGTACGCCGTTTACCATGGTGTCCCGTGCCCCTGTTTCCCTCGATAGGCTTCTGACGACATCATCCGCGGAGTCAACTCTCGCCGAATGCTGAACCGGTCAGCAGGGAGACAGAGGAGCCTAGTAGTGTGTACACACCCACACAAACGTGTAGGACACGCGCAGCGACTTCAGCGGCTAAACTGTGTAAACTTCTCACCTCTCTTGTGGATATAGTGCTATTTATAATGTGAGAGAAACGGTTTACAAGTCTTGTGATTGGTGATTGCTGGCAGGTTGAAAATCACCCGATTTTTCGGTGGGACATAAATAGAATCGCTGGTCGCGCGATGCTTGCAGCCACGTGGAAACCTGTGTGACCTTTGCACCCGTATTTCTCGCCGCATGGCTGCAAGATTTCTGGCAAGAAGGCTAGCCATCGTAGTTTCTCTCAGCCGTCACCGAATCGCTCACACGAAGTCTTATCCAACAACCTCCTACCGTGGGATAAAGCCAGCGGCTACACCGATGATAGCGAGAAAGATGACGTCACCAGCAGACTCACGTGCCGGAGCAGACACAACTACTGCGGTGGTGGGAGTGGAGGAGGAAAATGAGGAGGTGGGACAGGGAGAGGGTGTGAGGAGTGAGGTTGGTGAAGGTGGAGGAGATGGTGGTGAGGGTGTGTCTGGGGAGGAAGACAAGTACCAATACCTCCAGCGAGGGTTCACTTCGGAGATCTTCAAGATTGAGATTCAGAACATTCCCAAGTACATCGGCTATGGCGTGAGCACACCCTCCATTCATATTTATGGCAAATGACTTAACCCGCAATGTGTGACTCGTGAATGCAGGAGCTGAAGAAGAAGTTGGAGAAGCTGGGGCTGAAGCCTGTAAAGATAAAGAAGCCACAGAGGTTCCAGCATCAGCCTCACTGCTTCGTCACGTTTCGTTGCGAGGAGGATAGGGAGGTGACTTCTTACACCCTAACGCTAGCTGAAAGTTAACTACTTAAGTCCCCATCCTGTCATTGTTGGTCACCCTTAGCATTTGATGTTTGGGTGTTTTTCATGCCCCTGCAGTTTGCACTTGAAGCGCTAAAGGGAGTCGTTTGGAAGAACAAAACCATCACTGCAAAGGTGAGCAGCACACAACTTTTCTCTTCGTCTAAAACTTGTGGTACACCAAATTTAAAGGAGAAAACCTCCGTGCATTTGCCAAGTGTCAAAATCAGTTAGTGTCTTCCTTGTGAGTGTGGGACAGTATGGAATTGGGCTGGTCACTAATGTTTCCATAGGTGGCAGCACCGTCAGTGGACCCTCTATACAGACAGAGGAACAAACGGAAGAGTGAGTTGATAATGTACATAAGACATTCCTCCCAATTAGGTGATCATAATTGCGGTAATAAATTCCACTGGTGCCCTGGATTCATAGAGCTGGCACAGGTGTATGGGGGTCCTATTATTGTAGGGCAGTTGGGTAGTAGTAAACAAGCCGATTGTGGTTTCCTCTGTACTATACAGCAGCAGCAGATAGTGGGGCAGAGGGTGCTGCTAAGAGGGCTCGCATTGATCAGGAGCAGTCTCAACTTTCACTAAGACAGAGGTGTGTGTGGTGTGTGTGTCTGCAAGCTAACAATTACCTACCAGTTGCCATACATCGGTCGGGGCACTTAGTCTGCCACGACATTGTGTACATATATATGTATGCAGGGTTCAATCTATTGACGCGCACATGCCAAGCAATGTATATAGTTGGTCCAATGAATACCCTTATTTAAACACACGCTTGTTATTGTGGTTTGATCCCCAAGGGCTCCCTAGCCAACTGCGGGGGAAGGAAATGTCTCTCTTTATCACAAACCCACCACCTACTTCCAGTTAGGATGGTGCCAGGGCCAGAGTTCTTGACCCCAATTGGCATTCCAGACATACCAGATATAAAACTGGTTTGACTGGCTCATGCTCTACTGGTTTAATTGAGCTCCTGAATGGAGTATTTCCTGTCCAACATTAATAAATCAATTGCCTTGTGAGTGGGTGTGTGTGTATGTTTTGGCAGAAGAGCTTTTGTACTTGGCCTCAACATTAATTGCTTCCGCATGCTGCTGGAATCCCTGAATCACTGGTTTTCTATTGGCAAACATTGAGAGCCCGCCCGCACCTAGTCCTGTCTGAATCACACGATATTCTAATGTACTGACCTTGCTGTAATTGTATATTATACACACAATACACAAGAAACGCTGCTGAAGTTTTGTTTGCTCACCAAGTATTCGTCTCTCTCTCTCTCTCTCTCTCTCTCTCTCTCTCTCCAAACCAGACTGGACAAGGTAGTGACCCCTCTCCTGGGAACAGCCTATGAATCTCAACTGGCCACGAAGGCAGCTCAGATGCGTCTGGCTCTCCAGAAGGCCGCCTACCTCATTCAAAAGGAAGGGTCAAATCCTGTGAGCTGCCCCTCTGTTTATTTGCACAGAGTGTTTACAAAGTGGCCTCTGTCAAAACACAGCTGTCTCGGTAGGTGTAGCCACACTGCCTTTTAGTGCTCTTTAATTGAGGAGGTGGTTGAGAAGTCAAGGACTTCCAAACTGTAAATCTCTTACATAAGAGCGTGTAAGAGGGTAACATTACGTAAGGGAATGCTGCAGAGGCGTTAAGTGGATTCAGCTGATGTTTGGGTGTGTACAAAACTGTGCCTCTCTCAAGTGGATTTAGTTCCAATTGTCTGTCTTCAGTGACCACTGACACACTCCCAGCCACTGGTGGGGAATGTAAACAGATTACTTCATGGACACTTCCTCTATAGTGCACACACTCCTGAACTGTAAGGCAGGGGTCCACTGCCTGGTGTGGTAGTTCCACTGCCTGGTGTGGTGCAAATTTGAGTGGTATTGGTGGGTATGCTGTATGAGCTACATATAGGGTGTCTAAGTAAGGAGAATAGGAGAGGGGAGAGGGAGGAGATGGAAAAGGCTGCAGAGCAAAGACAGAGCCAGGAAGGGAGAGAGAGCTGTAGCATAAACATCGTCACACCATAGCTTCATCTTTACTTTTCTGGCATAGTTGTTTCGCATCATCCCCAGTTACCCACAGTACTTGCCAACCCTTCTTGCATCCCGATTTTGCAAATACCAAAAAATTTTGAAGCAGAGAGTAGGAGGAGAAAGCAGTGCTACAGCCCAGTAGATGCCTCTTGCATGTGCTGCTTTTTGGTGAGAATTCCATGTGTGGACGTGGAGCCTTACTCTACTGGCATTTTATCAGAGTTAGCTGGTATATAAACTAGTTTTTAGAGCGAGACACTCCTTAGGATGTGGTCTAGACCTGAAACAATAGCCAAACTGCCCAAATGAGACGTCCATTTGGCAGACAGCCTGAAAGTTTTTAAGTGAGTTTTTGCGTCTTTTTGCAATTTGGCACTCTGGCACAGAGAGTCAATTGCTCTGAGTGGCTGCATCCCAAAGTATGTAGTTCTGTCCAGACTCATTCACTCACGATAACGAAAGGGACGTACGTTTTTCTAGAGCTTGAAATCGAGATCTCCAATCATATCGCGAAATGGCTAAATCAATGTCACGTGCGTCCGTAGTCCCGGATGACCCTGGTAGGCGTGTATGACGCAATAATATGAGGTCTTGAGTTTGGCATGAAAAGCTACCAGAGTGCCCTTCTCCCCTTTGTGGGTTGATGGAACAGCCCACGTCCCCCAGAACCATTTCCAAAAGAGGAATTTTGCAGAGAAAGCTAGAGATATCACACCACCCATGCATGTGTTGTGTGGTTTGACTCGCACGCTAACTTCTTGACTGTGTGCGCGTGCAGGGAGGGGAGTTTGCAAGACAAGTCGACCTCCATCGGGGCATGATGTGTGAGCTGGAACCCATCCTGGCCTCTGTGAGATATCCTAGTTGTCTCAGTCGAGTCTCCCAGCCTCCTGACTCGTCTCTTCTTTTTCCACCACCCCTCTCTCCCTGATTTCTTCCATCTCCTCCTCACTCTCTCCTTCCTTGCTGTCTTCCCTCTCCCCCTCTCCCCCCCTCCCCCTCTCCTCAGCCTCTACAGACTGGGTACAGGAACAAGGTAGAACTTACAGTGGGAACTCAGCCAGATAATACACCTGGTAGGTCACTCATAGCATATGGCATTGGAGGACAGAGAATGGCAGATGGTGTGCAGCCTTCTTTCCAGGAAACTGAGCAGCATCTGTTGCTTTCTGTGACAGGGGGAAAGAGTGGAGTATAGCAAGAATGTATATAGATATGTACACCTGTTGGAATTTATTCCATTAAGCTACGAAGTTATTCACTGAGGAGGCTGTGTTTGACTATATTTAGTCATGGCCACCCGCAGTATATACCTCTTAAAACAAATACGGTTGCAATACTATGAATTCTGTGTGTGGGCGGTTGTTTTCTCTTTACCCAGTCACTCCCCCCTCTCGGTCTCATCTCTCTATTCCTTGCTCCTTGCCCCCTCCCCTTCTTTTCCTTTGTTTCAACTTTTTGCAGTGGTTGGCTTTCGACTGGGCAGCTACGAAGGTAAGTGAGTGACCGAGTGTACCAGAACATGGATAGCCAGTTTTCCTCAATGTTATACATTTGGCTTTGGTACACTTATATGAATAAAGGACACCTCTCTATAAAAGACACACCTATTACTTACTTAGTGTGTGTTATTTAGACTCTGAATTAGGACGATTCTAGTCCCATTGTGTGTCCATTTCCTGAGGTTCCGCGGTGTTCTAACGTCCCACATCGTTGATCCATTAGATGGAGAGTTCACGGTGGTGTCACCAGAGCACTGCGCCCATATTCCAGAGAGAGTGAAGCAACTCGGTCAGGTGTGTTGCGTCAGTAAACGGGCCGGCTGTGAATCAACTCTAATCTCCTTTCCCGGCCTTCTGCGCCGTCATTCACGGTTGTGAATGGCGCGTGCTTCCCATTGTGTTTGTTGTTTCTCCAGGCATTTCAGGAATTTTTCGCGACGTCGCCACTAGCACCTTACAGAGCCTCTGATGAATCTGGGTACATATACACTGTGCATGTGTGTGTGTGTGTGTGTGTGTGATTTTTTTTTCAAAATAATATGTTTTTGCAGTAATATTTACTAAGTGGTGTAGAGCACAAGGGGCCATTATAATTTGTTATAATGGTCGATCCAGAGCTGCTAAGTATATAATGCATAATTATTATCCGTAATAGTGTTTTCGACCCTCAAGTATATCATTCGTGCTGTGCTCCCCTTGTCAATGTATGGGAGCAGTAGGTGAGAAAATAATATGTGCAAACTCCGTACGTTGCAAAAGGTCCGCATGCTTTCAAGTTACGTTCGCTTGATGGCTGGGAACCAGGAAAGGGTAGGAAGTATTAAAGGCCTTTCCTGGTAGAGAGTGCAGCTGAAATGCGCTCAATATGGGTGGGACTCCCATCTGTGGTGTAATGATATCACGCCAGACCAAAGTTGTAAAATCGCCTTATGCAGCAGTTGTGGGATGGAGTAAGACTCCTTTTTCTCGACTTCAAACGAACCTCTGTGGTCCTGTGCACGCGATTTTGTTTGTGTGCCTGGGAGGAGTGCTCCCAAGGGCTACCCTTTATGTGTGATTGGGGCGAAATGAGGCTGCAAGGATGTGCAAATTTTCCCTGGACTCAAAGATTCTCTCTCTCTCGTCTCCCTCTCAGGTACTGGAGGCAGGTAGCTGTGCGTTGCTATACCACCGGAGAGAGTATGGCTGTTGTTATGATCCACCCTCAGAGTCTTTCACAGGTATAGAGGGAGGGGGAGGGAGGGAGGGAGGCAAGAGAGAGGAGTGGATAAAGGGCGTAAGAGAGGAAGTAAGAGAGGGAGTAAGAGAAGAGCCTGTTTGCAGGAATAGGGAAGAAGGGACAGAGAAAGATTGAGAGAAGAAAGAGAAGGGCCACAGTGTCTTGCTCTTACAGATAATATTTGCGTTGCCCACAGGAGGAGCTGGGGCAGGAGAAAGGAAGACTGGTGGATTTCTTCACCACTGGGCCTGGCTCTGCCAACCCTCCCAACTCCCTCTATCTCCACCCGTTCTCCAGGAAGTCAGTATACAATGGAACCCCTCTAATCCGGGACACTAATGGGACAGAGTAGAGTGTCCATTCTAGTGATTCAGGGGTTAACAATAGCTGTTCTTAGGGAGATGAAAAGTGTGCCTTTATTGGACCACATTTCAGGGAGAGGGGTTCCACTGTATATATATAATGTTGTTTGGTTTTGTTACTGAAAATGCTGGGTTTGAAGACACGCTCATTTCAATTTGGTGTTTTTTGGGAGTTGGCGGTGATGTGAAACCGACATTAGTTTTATCTCTCCCCCACTTTCACGTTGTCCCCAGAACAAAGGATCATACTGTGGACATGGAGCACCTGCTGGGAGAAAAGGTCCAGTGAACCTTCTGCTAATTGCTTATTAGTCTTTGTAATAGCCCAGTAATAATACAGCTTTATACACAAGCGTTATGCTAATGATTGTTTGAGTTGTGTGCTGTTTCACATAATAAATGTACGTATGCCATCCCAACTCTGTACATCGTTAGCTCTAATTAATGATGTACGTACGTACTGATATTTCTCCAACTGTGCAGAATGTACACGAGGAAGTTCTGGGGATGAAATTCCGGATCTCTCCCGATGCCTTCTTCCAGACAAACACCCCCGCCACGGAGCTGTTGTACCGCCAGGTACGCGACCTCTGTCGCCATGGAAATCGTTCTTCCGAGTCATCGCCGTCGTTGTCGTCGGACGTGGCTTCGTCGAGACCTGCCATATATGGTAGGTCGGTATGTATGTAGTGAAGCCTGTAAGCCACTCTATAGTGCTACTGTTGAAGGGGAAACAAGGTACGTAGTTGTGAACCAGAGCATGCACATGTTTTGTGTGGTTGCCGTGACAGTGACTGTAACCACGAAGTGGTGTGCGTTGTACAGACTGTTGAGGGTTAAATCTCGCCCAGGGGACTGTCAGTGCTAAATCTCGCCCAGGGGTAGCTCTTTCTTCAAAAGCTCTTCCGAGGTCCACTCCCAGGCGGTATATCTCGCTCTTTCGTAAGACAGAGGGAAAGAGGGATAAGGAGAAGAAGGAAAGAGAAGAGAAGAAAAGAGAGAGAGATAGAGAACAAGAGTGGTCTGTCTCTCTACAGTCGTAGCTCACGAGAGGGAGGTGGAAGGAGATATCTTTCTCCAAGGCATGGGGGAGGGTTCGCTCATGCGTGAGTCATGTATTGTATTGTCCAGGTGTGTGAGTGTGAGTGGTCATGTTGGAGGTGTGCCACTGACAGGCATGATGTGGTTTACCCCAGAACGCTAGCTACACCAGCCAGCTGCACTCGGGGTATCAGGTAGCATCTAACAGCTGTACCGAAAATCAGGCATACTGGCTTCTTCTGTCTAGCTCGCCAGTTAATTTGGGAGAGTGAAATTTTCGTGTTTCACTATGATCTATGAAATATGTAAACCATATAAATTTAATGGTCTAGTGCACCTTAATTAGAGTGTGCGTATAACAGTTCAGATAGAGATTTCTTTCTGTGCCAGAGCGTCAATCGTGCCACAATCGGGGGGGGGGCCCTGTACCCCAAATTCCATTGTATATGGTAGCTTACTAGCCCTTGTCCTTGCTGCTAAATTTCTGCTTTCTGACTGGGATAAGTTGTGTGTATTCCCAGGGGAGCCACAAAACGTGGAAATCCTTTACCAAAGGAAGTGTCACTTTCTCTAGACATCATCTACCAGCATGTGACTGTCTCTCTCCCACTGGAACTCTTTTATTGGCTACTATCATTGTAACGTGCTGCGAAAAGATCTCGGAACAGATTATGTTTTTTATCATGTCCAACTTGTAAAGTCATTACAAGCCGCAGAAGGTCGCTGGTATTTCCTGTAGATCCTGTCCCCTGATTACATTCCTGCACACCCCAGGCAGACTCTGAGGCTCCAGTACTGTTTTCACACGGGCACACACTCTGTTGTAAACGTGCAGTCCAAATGAGGCGCCCTTTGTTATTTTGGTGGGCGGAAGTTCTCCATTGTGTGCCCTCCTGGTGGAGACTGTGAATGCGGGTATAATAATACCGTGGTGGGGTTGAGAGGGGTGTGTGTGCTATTTTTGGACTCTCTCTCCCAAAAATAGACATCTGCTGTGGCACTGGAACAATCGGACTCTACCTTTCTAAGGTATCGATCTGCCCCCTTATGTTTTCTGATACTGGAATGATTTTACGAGAGGTGGTGGCTATTTTGTGCGTGTGTTTGGTACATGGGTGGTGTTAACACTTAACCAGCCACGGACGCATAAATGTGCCCAGAGCCTCCATAAGTCCATACATACGAATTTATATGGGGGTTATAATACTAGGCGCTAATACACTATACATCAATTTCTGCTTATTATTTTAAGCAGATCCCCATGGCGTCCAAAGATGTAGAACAACCTTTTTGTATGGTTGAAAGTGCAGTTCAATAGTAAATACACAGGACACAATGGTTGTGTGGAAACAGGTGATGTTTCTGTGAATGGCTGCAGGTGTTGTGTGCTAGAAGGTGTGTGGGTGTGGAGATGAACCAACAGGCCGTGGAAGATGCTAGAGCCAACGCTCAGCTGAACGGTCAGAAACACTTCTCGCTATAATTATTACACTGGATGGTCTAATACCTTCATGTGCAGTAATATTAACATTATTCATACTCTCGAACTAGGTTCATGATGTGAGGACCCCACTTAATGTTAGAAAAACCTTTTTTCATCAATATTTTGATTACCCACTGATTGCAGTGATTTGCAATTGTTTTCTCTCATAAATGTAATCAGTATGGTATGTTAGTGTGTCTCGCTACAACGGCAGGTATAGAGGATGTGGAATTTGTGTGTGGAAGAGCAGAAGATGTCCTCCAGGGTCAGTTGGAGGAGGAGGAGGAGAGTGGGGGGCCGGGTGAGGTGATTGGCGTAGTGGATCCTCCCCGGGCCGGGCTACGTATGTCTCTTCCACCCTCTTTTTTCCGCTCCATGTCTCATTTACCTTTTCCTTCCCTCTGATCCCTCTCTCCCTCTTGTCTCTTTTCCCTTACCCCAGCTCTCTATTTAATTCTCGACTTCCTCTCTCTATTTCGCTCTCATTTCCCTTTCTTCTCTCTCTTCTCTCTCTCTCTCTCCTCCTCCTCCTCCTCCTCCTCCTCCTCCAGATCCCAGAGTGGTCCAGTGCATCAGAAGAAACCCACATATCCAGAAACTCATCTACGTATCATGCAACCCCGAAGGCCACCAAACACTTGGCAACTTTGTGGAGTGAGTTCTAGTCACACACACATGTGGACGATAAACTCTCCAGTGATGGAGAGAGGGGGGGAAAGTGAAGTGTGAGGGGGAGACTATGTAGAAAGTGGGAGGATCTTTGTGGGACAACTAGCGGTAATTATGAGGGTTCAGCTATTGGTTACGGTAACTACTCTAGTCCTGCATTCTTCTCATACCAACCGCCACTCCAGTCAGGTTCCTGCCATGTTAGGTATCCCCTTCACAACGATCAATTAGAATCTTACTCCAGTAAATACCATGACCAGAAACTCAACTGATAGTAGGCTCTTGCCAAAAAACAAAGCTATGACCTCGTCCTCTTTCATAATTAATTAATCCTCGGCGCGCATGCGCAGCGAGGGTTACTGTAGTCGTTCTGTCTGTGTGTGTGTGTGTGTGTGTGTGTCGACGCTTATTCTGGCACTACAGGCTACGAAGCGGCCCATTAGCGATACCAGCAGCTTCAGAATTACACGAGCCTGAAAAAAATGGCCGATTTTCCTGAAACGACTGCGTTTGAGAGCGACAAACTGGCACCGTCGCGGATCGTGTTCCGTGGCCCAACCCATCAATAAGCGGTGCGCATGCGTATATTAGACGCGATCAACGCTGTATGCTGGCTCACCCCGACCTAATCCGCTTGCTCTGTGTACCTTGGAGGCACAAGAAACCACAGCGAAGGGCGTGTATCGACTCCCGCATGCTATCTACTACCGTAGCTAGCCCATGTCAGACTAGCGGCGGCGAGCTACTGCGGGGACTGCGGGTCCGTCCATTTTTAGCGGTACCGCGCATGCGCAGTTCGCCAAGGGTTTGCACTTCAGTGCTTGTCATTATAATATCACTATTATTTATTGATAGTGAGCGAGCTGGGCATTTTTAACTTCCCCATAAGTTAAAGATGGAGCGGACGTGCATTTTTTATCAGCTGATGAAAATTCCACGCAGTCTACTATACCCCTCCCCTAGATCTCTTTCCGTAACTTCTTGTCACTGTGTGTGGTGTGTGTGTTATCATTATCTCCCCCACCCTTCTCTCTTCCTCCGCAATTCCATCCCTCCTCCACTTCAACACACACACACACACACCACACACAGTCTCTGCAGAAGGCCTTCTCTGAGAGTCAAGGGAACTCCGTTCACTCCGGTGGTGGCTGTTCCAGTCGACCTCTTTCCCCACACCCCTCACTGTGAATTGGTGGTCCTCTTCCAGAGAACAACTACTGCCTCCACGCACACCCAGTCATCAGCCCCTCCTCCTGGTGATGAGTCATTGGTTACTGAGTCATCAGCCCCTCCTCCTGGTGATGAGTCATTGGTTACTGAGTCATCAGCCCCTCCTCCTGGTGATAAAGACTCATCAGCCCCTCCTCCTCCTGGTGATAAAGACTCATCAGCCACTCCTCCTCCTGGTGATGAGTCATCAGCCCCTCCTCCTCCTCCTGGTGATAAAGACTCATCAGCCCCTCCTCCTCCTGGTGATGAGTCATCAACCCCTCCTCCTGGTGATGAGTCATCAGCCCCTCCTCCTCCTCCTGGTGATAAAGACTGAACTTGTGTATATCACTCTTCTCTTGTCAAAATCCAAAGTTGCAATCATTGTTCATGTGACGTGCAGCGTGCTCTAGTGGTGACTATTTTTAGGTCATCATCATGGTTTATGGCTTATTATACTGTGTACTGAACTACCAATAACTTTCATGACCTTCGTTTTTAAAATGAGCTCAGTTGGGGGGGGCAAGGGGGATAGTTTTTTTTCCGTTAGCTCAGTTGGATAGTTTTGTGATGACGAAAAGCACAAACAAGTTGTTGAAACTGATTGTTTCTTTGTGACGGTGAAACAAAAGAGTAACAAGTGTGATGAAGAATAACGGTGATTGATGCACTGAGGAGGACAAGAAGACGATCGAGAGAGAGAGGAGGGGGAAGAGAGAGAGAGAAGTTGCCATCTGTCAGGAGCAGGAGGAAGACAGAGGAGTGGGGGACGTCATCCGAATGGCATACATTGAGTCTGTGTAAAACAAACAAAACAATTTACTGAACCATTACTGTGGTGGAGCGATGTAGTGCTAGACTCCCAAGCCAGGCAAAGGGACAAAAGGTATGTACCCTCGGTTAGGCATGCAGCAAGAGGAGGTGGAATTGGAACGAGTGGACTTTATTCCTATACACAAATAAGAACCTTCCTTTTGTTGGAAAAGCAAGCAGCAGGATAAACAAGAAAAACATCATAGTAATGGACTTTTTAGAGAGAGAACACCAACACAAACTTTGGAAAGTGGGCCAATTAAGAGCACCAATGACAGGGCCTTACCCTCCAGCATCGTCATTTCGGAAAGAGGGGCATAATTTTCCTGTGCGCCCACTGTTGGTGTAGAACACTGGATCACCTGGTGCCATGTACAGAGGTTCTGAGGGGGAGGAGAGGGGGAGGGGAGCACGGCCATGATTTTCAGAATATATACACTTCATTTTGCCGAGTGAAGTGAGTCTGAATTGCATGATTTGTTCGACATTTTTTATGCTCGGGCATTGTCCTCATGCTTTACGTAATTAAAAAAATTCGTGAAAATCAGATGAAATTGCGTTCACTCACCAAAAATGGTAGCATAGTGAAACTGCAGTAGCATTCTTACATTAGCCATAGCACAGTGGTTTGAGGTGTGCCTTTGTGTTGTACTGTGTTGTAGATTCGAACCCCTACCTGCTGAGTTACCCTGGTAGCTCAGTTGGTAGAGCCCTCGCCTAGACTGCAGAGTGTCATGGGTTCGAATCCCACCCAGGGCAGCTCTTCTTCTCTTCTTTGAACAGAAAGAGCTGTCCTGGGTGTAGTTGACTTGTTTGCCCTGCCTTGCCTTTCTACCTCGCTACCAAGTTGTTCAGACATACATTAGCAATAGCACTAACTTGGGACTTTAAAAAAAAACACCTTCACTGCACCATGTCGTTGCAAGCACTGAACTTGTTTATATATCGCGAACTTATTTGCAGCGACCAGCTCAGGGGGACACCACACACACACACACACACACACACACACACATGCATGACATATGCACGCATCACTTGTTTGACATTCACAATTAAAGAGTGAGTTAAGTAAACTACGTATAACGACTTGCAATCGATTTAATAGCCTGCCGATTACTACCTTACTACGAGGACACCTTACAAAGTGGATAGAATTACCAAAGACAGTCATACCATCTGCTACACATTATGAGAGCTTAGGTCAATGAATTATTAAGGTGACAGAAACGATCTCATGGCAGTGGTAAAGAATAGCTTAGTGGGGAAATCTTTTTTCATTCGCAAGGAGAAAGAGGAGGAGGCAGGGATATTGGCAAGTGGACTACGATAATGTTGTGTCTTGATGTATGTGGACGGTGGAACAAGAACGCACTACAAAACAAAAACCTTTTCGGTTATTTGGAGATGTTACCAAACGAAATTCTCCCGCTGTACCGTATCACAATACACCAGAGACGTATCACATGACACCAGAGGCGTATCACATGACACCAGACAGGTATCACATGACACCACACGCAGCACACGCGGAGACAAAGGGAGAGAGAGTGGTATGCGTGTGTACATATCACTTTACACTGACCTCCATCGTCCCTTCCGTTTTGAGTGTCGCCGATAATCAGGACAGGGTTACCCCCACAGGTGCCTCCTACGGTAGAGTCCCGTTGAGACGGTGGCTCTGGGGACAAGGGTGACTCGGTGACCTCTGGACTCATGTACACTGGAGGTGGAGGCGAGATGGAAGGAGGAGAGAGAAGAAAGCAAGCGATGAGAGGGAGAGGGAGAGCAGAACTAAAGAATGGAAGGGTGTGTAAGAGAGAAAGAGACTCCATCACAACACACGGAAATCTCATACACCTCGGTTGCATTGCTACAATGTTCAAAAGGGCTTGTTTAGAGCAAGTTGGATGGACCTATCTTATCCATACATTTGAATTCGCCTAAATGCCTCATGTAACAGGTCGTATATACCCTGAGCACTCACTCACTGCACACTTACCTCCACCTCCTTCATCCACCATTCCACCTCCCCCGTCCATCGAGAAATTGAGAGGAGTATAGACTGGCAGAGGACCGTCCTCCCAGCCACCTACAAAAGCAAAAACACCAACAGACAATCTCTCTCTACACACTCGTAACACAACAACACTATCTCTCTAGCCCACTAGCACCATTGAGACCTGCCTGTAATGATGGCATAGTCAAGCATTGGTTATGAGCTGTGTCTTTTACCTAATGCTGTCGACCCTTCTTTGGGTTTTAGAAAGAAAGTAGTACTTTATTCATTGCAACTGTCCTCTGGTACATGTTACCCACAGTGGTCAGTGTCCGTTACACATCAGAGAGAAGGCTCTTGCCCTATTATGGCTATCAGAGCTGTGTAAAAACAGCCTCAGCTAATGCTCCCTCAGCCCCCCATCCATCAAACAAAATACACAGTTTTGTTTGTAAAGCCACCACACTCTATACACACTAGAGTAGAACCCCCTCTAAGAACACCCCCCCCCCGCCCACGAAATGAGAGCATCTTTTATTTCCCCGAGAACTGCTTTTGCATGCAATTGAATAAGAACACCTCACCATATAATATGGATCGAAACTTTATTCTGTCACATTGGTGGACAGTTTAGAGCGTTTCCACTGTACACGAAAGTGCTTCATGCACACCCACATACCATAGTGTGCTTCATGTAGTGGCAGCCACCCACATACCATAGTGTGCTTCATGTAGTGGCAGCCACCCACATAATATGTAATACTTTCAACTTCCTTTCTTTTCTCAAGTTATTGAACTCGGGCTTCTCAAAACAAGGCAGAGAAAGACAGCTTATGGCCACCCAATGCACTCAGCTTCTCAGAGAATTTTAAAGATCCAGGGATCCAGTGTTTGGCTAATGAGCTAGCTAATAGCAAATAAGGCCATGTGTATTCTCACTCACCTGTGTTGGTAGTAGGGTGGCCTACTGCGTCAGGCCCCTGACCGTCGCGACTCAGCAAATGTCTGTTTTTGACCAGGTCAACGTACGAATAGGCCTCAAAATCCTCTGGCTCGCTCTCAGGGGTGGGAAGCCTATCCTTTCCTCCCCTTCCCCTTTCTCCTCGCTGCCCCCGTAATTCCCGCGGTAACGGAGTGGTATTTATCGAGCCACTGTTCGGCAGCTGAGAGGTGGAAGTACGTTTGGTAGTGTCCGCAGGCGACATTTCGACGTAGCCTTCCAAATCTGTGGGTTCACCAGCGATTTTCGTTGTAGTTGGGGGTTTGTTGGGGAGGTCTTTCCTGGCGCGAGGGAGGGGGGCTGGAGGTCTGGTCGGAGGTTTTCTGTGCGGAGGGGGAGGACGCTGGGCTTGACTGCCGCTGTCATCTCTATAGACAGTTGTCCCACTCCTCAGGTCTATGATATGTAGGGAGGAGGCCGATGATTCTTCTGGTTTGACTGGATTGACCAGTTCACGAGACAGGTTTTGTTCGTCCAGAGAGACTGTATTGGGGGCTGACAATTTCCTGGGTTTTCTCAGGGAAGGCGACACTCCTAGTGTCTCCCCTGTGCAGAGAGAGTGCTGCGTGTGGTGATGTTGGATAGGATATGCGGCAGAATGCCTGGGTTGCGGGTCGCGTTGCACGACTACGGAACGCTCAGAGGCTGTGCTCTTGCACCTCTGCACGGGAGCCCGTTCCCGACGGACCACGACGCGTGGCGTCAGCGGAGGCGATGCAGATGCGGCTCCGTCAGCAGAGTCGATCTGAAGGACGGTGTAGCCGATCCTCGGCTGAGCGGCCTTGGTGGAGCTGACGAGACGAGGGGAGTTTCGACTGTTAGTGCCTGCAGTTCTCCGTCCTCCAGCCGTTCCTTTCTCCTTTACACCGACGTCCAACGCCACGTACTTTTTTCTCGGTAACGCAGGAGCCCTTCCCTGAGCCGCAGGGGACGCTGAGCGTCCGGGGGTAGCAGGAGAAGGGTGGGAGAGGTTGGTTCGCTGCTGGTGGAACCTGTTCAGAAGCTGGTATGTGGGCCGCGGGGGTATCCGCGGGGCAGGAGCCGCCACGGCGCGAGGAGACGCCTCCAGCTGACCGCGACGCCTTCTTCTCGGCGCGGTGGAGAAGTCCGCGTCGCTAGCGTTTCCTCCACGCGACGTCGACGGACGTACGGAAGCGGCCGAGAGCCGCTCCAGGCTCTTGGACCGCTTTCTTGAGCCCATGATGAACCACTGCTCGCTTTCTTCCAACGGACGTCGCGATAATACCGTCGGCGACAATTTACGTGCGAAATTAGAATCGTAAATGGTACTATCGCTGACTGGTAAGTCGTTGCACTGGATGTATCCATCTTCGTCTTCCAACGGTAGAGAAACGTCGTCCCCTTCTTCCATGCTATCACTGGCAGTTACAATCGCAACAGGAAATCGGTGGTTGGAAGCTACTTACAGCTAGCTGCATACCATTCCTCGCACCATTGCACAGGCTTGACGTTGTATTATAGCCAGACGCCAGGTTTACTTTTGTTGCTCAGAAATAACAAACTTCATGACTGCATAAACAGTTGTTTAATTAATAGACACACAACAATCATAGCAACAAACGGGGAAGATATAATATCTTTGACTGTTGGACAGACAGAGCACATATATACGATGGACAAGGTGGATCGATTTACAAATGCATGCCGTGTTTCTGATTGTAACACAGAAATGACCAAAAACGTATCAGGAGAAAAATTACACCTAAAAAGCACAGAAAACCAAAGAAAAACGACTCACTCGCCATCTCTCACCCACTCCCAACGCTTCATAAAATACCCGCTCTAATTTCTTGGTTGTGTAACAACACTTCATCTATGCAGAGTTTCCTTTGACGGTACTGGCAGTCTGTGCGCGGTGATGGTCCAGTCGCTGGAGAAGACTATCTAGAAATGTTAGTTTAGAGTCCAAGACATCTTGGGAGTCCTCCATTGACATGTTGTAGCTCTGCAGAATCAGCTTACAAGTCTGTGGGTACATTGACCACTCAAACTGTGACAGAGAGAGAGGGAGGGAGGGAGGAGAGGATGGGAGAATTTTCATAACACTATAGCAAAATCGATTCAGCGTGCTTGGTAGAGAGATGAGGAGGGAGAGATCAGGAAGGGTAAGAAAGGTAATATGGCAGATCTCAATGTGTCTTTGTGATGCATACAAACGCACACATAGGAGGGAGTGCATCACTTCATTTAAGACTATGGGTTGCAAGCTGAAAAATGCCAACCAGCAGATTTCACGACTCAAAACACTTAGTCTTGAAGAACCAACCTTATACCACAAAAAGAACTCAGAGGTGAATGGGTAATGAATGACATAATGACAGAAATGTGAGGATGACTGTACTGGACACGGTAAGGAGACGTTTGGAAACATTAGCCAGCATTCTAGTGGCATCAGTGTGCGACTGAGTTGGCTTAGGATCAGCAATAAGATCTGGGTACACAACACACACACACACACACAATCCTTCCTCTCTCTCTTCACCTTTCCCTCTTACTTCTCATGCCCCTTTCATCAACTCCAATGTAGCTACATACGTACTTCTTTATTCCCAACAAATTTACTAATAGTCCACCAACACTCTTTACGGCTAAATAAATGTGCAAATGAACACCACGCATGCAATGACCACCCAAGTCTCTCATAACATCACGGAGCACGGTTTATTTGCTATAAGCTACCCCCTTAGAAAATCTAATACACAAAAGCTAACCATGCCAGCGCTTACATTACTCATGTAACCTGTCCCTCTCGACCTCTCCTTCCCCCTCACGTTCTTATCATCGAAGGGCAGCTGACATCTCCTCAGCTCCTCCTCGAGGTTGACCAGCTGTCTCTCCACTGAGGGGAAAGGTCGGAAAGGTCGCGACACCTCACGAAGCAGGCTGGACAGGTCCTCGAGGTACTTTGCCACGTCCTCCAGTGACGGATGTTGCTGCTGCTTTGTGTTGACTATATAGAGAAAGAGAGAGTCATTTGGAGAAACTGACACGAGTAATACATTAGAACACATTTTGAGAGTGAATGGAAGTCAAAAATCGATTTAGCATTTCAATAAAATTACGCTATGATGACCAACAACCATGCCACATAAAATTTGTAATGCCACTAAAATTTATAATGCCACAAAAAATTTGTAATGGCAGTCATTCAGCTGTGAGTGACTCAAAACATCATTTTACAGTAATTGTAAAAAGCTTCTTTTGATTACGATCCTCCACACCTCATTCTTGTCATCCTCGCTACCCGTTCGCTTCCTCCTCTTCTTCTTCTTGGAGCCAGTCGCTGGCTTTACGATATCGACACACACGGCAGATAGCAGTACATATAGCGGCTGCATCTGAGCACATAACGGAGATGACGTTGAGAGAAACTTAAGATGGTGTAGCGATGTTTCCCTAGACGACGCGCCTAATGTGATGGTGTCTAGAAGCAACATAGAAAACTCACCGAGTTATGACAGAGAGTGTATGCATCCATGGACGAGCTGTTCATCGTGGTACAGAGTTCAGGTGAATGTCCGCTCGTAGGTTGAGGGTGTGCCCGAGAAAAACTACTTTTTGAGGCTGTGAAATGTTACATGATTTTTCAGAGGCTACGATGAAAAAATAATGTATGGTTCACTTCACATGCATTTGCGTTTAGATTGTGTGAAATGTACGACTCACGCGGAAGCTCCCTATCGCTTTAGTTTTGAAGGCTGAGTCTGTTTGGTCTCGTTGTAGCCCTATCATTCTTCCCTGTACACTCTCGATGATTTCCGACTGTGACCTCCTCCTCTTCTGGACCCTCCTCACTCATTCTCCCTCTCCCCACCTCGCCTCTCTCTCCTCAGTCTCTCTCTCGCCGCTGTCACCTTCTCTTGACCCCCCTCCTCACCCCATTCTCAGTTTCCTCCCCTGTTCCACCCTCTCCCTCCTCCTCCTCCTATCTCTCGTCGGCTCTCGCCCTAACAGCTGCGCTGAGTCACGACATATGCCTCCTACAAGTCATCTGGCAGTATCGATTTGGATCGAATGGACTTGCTTGATCATACGGGCTGCCATATTCTAAAGTATATATGCTATAACAAATGTGACACGCACTTTGGCCGAGGGGGGGGGGGCGGACACAGTACAGTGTAATTTTCCAGCATGCCTCTTTGGAATCTGACGTAGAAAACACAGACAGATATGCAGTTGTGCTAGCGGCCGTGATTATGCAAACATTATGAATGATTTCGATCAAGAAAAATTGCGAGGGACTTTGGTTTTGCCTGTCTAGTCATCGTTGCACCTGCACGCACGTAACAGTGTGATAATTTTGCTTTCAGTGTATTGCGAGATAACACGGTTTTCCTGGCCGACACGAGAGAGTCAGACTTACTTCTGAACAGTATGGCCTCCCTCATTTGGGTCGGCCACGGTTGCAGTGACTGCGGATGCCAGTCTTCCACCCCACCGATGGAAAATTAACGAGGGTAGGGGTGGCCGTAGGATGAAGCTCAGAAACCGCAAGAAGCCAGGCTACGGCGGACTGACTTGCCGCGAGTGGTCAAGAATCAATGATTGTGTGTGGAGGAGTTAAAAGTGATTTTGTGGCGACTCTTGTCTGAGTGTTATGTTCGCTGCCTAGTTATGCAACCACAAGGCCCATGCACTACTGGTTACTTGCGAGTGGAACTAACTTGCATGATATGAATCTGCTTTTTGTGTATGGAGTTTCATGTACCACCAGCAGATAGAACTACGACATGCCCATGATTGGTACATTTTATAGCCATCGTGCCAGATTAATGATGACGGTCCTAGTCCCAGCCCCACAGACCAGGTGAGCGCCTCTTTTGCTGGAGGACTATGTACCCATATGCTGCGCCATCTGAGCCAGACAATTGTTCAAACTCTGCCACATTCGCACTGACACGAGCACTGCCTCAGTTTGCTCCTGCCCGCTTTCCCCCGCCCACGTCCTGTGGGGTGGAGTGGGCGTGGGCTGTTGCATGGTTACGCTACGGCGTCTTGATGTGGGGCACTGCGACCAATGCGAGTGACTCTGACACGTAGCCACAATAACGGGATGAGCGGTGGGAGGGGAGGAGGGAGGGAAAGATGTGAGGGTAAATGAGTGGAGAGGGAAGGGGGAGAGAATGAAGAGATGATGGGGATGACCAGAATGGTAAATAATTTTTGTAGTTAGTGAATGTGTATGCGATACCTCTATCCTCAGAGTGAGAGCTGGTTTTCTAGTTTTACGTGAGTGACGCGGACGCTCACTGCAGGAGAAAAAGTGAAGATGGGAGAGGTAGATCGGACGAGGAGGAAATGAATTCTCTCTCTCTCTCACCCAGTGTGTGTGGCCGACGTGCGACTCAGTACGTCATCACTACGGTGAGTCTGCTCACTGTCAATAGTCTGGGTACAAACAGTGAGTCTAGTGGCGAGGAGAAGAATGTGTAGTAAGATTGGCCGAGGAAAGGCATATGTGTGTGAGTGACTGGCATCCGCCGACTACCGAGCGTGATGTTACACGTGCAATTCTAATCCACGCGTGAAGTGGCGGGCACTGGGGCCATACTATGATGTGTTGGTCTTTTCAGTCTCTCTTACTTACGTGATTTCTAAATCCGCGATGAAAAATGTTTAACTGCTCGCGCTTCCTCAACCACAAATGCTCAGTGTTGTAATAAGGTAAGACAGGAAATCTCAGTAAATGTAGTGGGCATAATGGCCGGGCAACTGTTGTCATCCCCTATAGTACTCAGTAGCTTAGGATACGGACAGCATCTACTCACTCGCGTGCGGAGTGCAGTGGGCCGAGGAAGGTAGCGAGTGACCACTGAATCGCAATCTCTACTGATGAGACTGTGCGTGCCTCCCCATGAGTGAGCAAGTGATAGGTTTTAGAGACACAAGTGAGCAGTTGAGCTACGTAGGTAGACACCTTGGCTATTTCGTAGTGCCGACGCAGCATAAACAGTGCTACGTGTAAAGCTGGTGTGTAGGAGTGGCTGGAGGCATGTGGAGTCAGGGCGGTGGCAACTCTAGTAGTGGATAGATGCGTACGGTGCAAAGTATAAGGTCCCTGTGGATGGATGGGTGACTACTTCAGGGCAGATAGATTCATGTTCGACCAGCGTACAGGCGAAAACTGAAAGAATGAGATAACTTGTCTCTCAGACCGACAAACTCATGGTATCTGTGGAGCCATGGGTTGGCGCGAGTGAGTGAGATATGAGATGGTAGTAGCGGTGCGCTCATGTGCTCTGCACAACAAAAATGCTCCAACCTTTTGAAACATCCGTTTTGTACGCGTTGAACGATATATTCTGAATGTCTCTGTACGGACAAAAAACAACTCAAAAAACATGTTAAAACCAGCGATGACTGATCGTAGATGACTAGACATGAACGCATTTTTTGGCGCGCGAGAAGTGAGCAATTCTCTTGCATCAGATGGTGTACTGACGTGCAGTGTCGCATCACGTAGGAAAACCTCGCGTACAGACAACTATCTAGTGGGCTCACTTGTGCTCGCAGTAGTTGTTCTCGGATCGCTCGGATCGTTCGACACAGGGTGTGCATGCTGTTATTTGGAGCTCACTCTCTGTCAGATAATACGAGAGGTGCTATGGCTACCGAGAGTCACCAATCTCACAACAGTTTGAGGTGAAAAAGCTGCTCCAGAGGCGTCTGTGCTACGGGCGTTTTTAGCATCATACAGCATGGGACGGTCTGCATAATGGCTAACTCTTTGAATATATTTACACTACGGACTGATGCTTGCCCATCTCAACACTTCCGTAAGCCCACACCCCCTTTCCTGAGCCAGGGTGCGCTCCATATGATACCTCCTTGCACAGCTGGTAGTACGAAGCGAGTGCAGAGCGATAGAGTTGATTCGTGAACCGAAAGCACCGGACGCCTGGAGATACGTCAGGTAGGAGATATAGCTGGTGGAAGAGGAGATTAGCATTTTTACGTCCCGTACCCCGAATTTAGCCCCATATTTTCTACCATATCACTCGATGCCACGTTTTTTTAACCGTTACTACCAATACCCCCCTACCCAGTTTGTAACTGACTCCAGTACCCCCGTCTTACCGCCATGAGCGTCGCCATCTGGAGGTTGTTTGTATGTGAGGAGAGACTCAAATATATCAGTGATTCCCTCCGCTGGCTCCTCGAGGAAGCCATACATGTTTGAGGAGGAGAGCAAAATCTGAGGATGTCGTCTGGTGGTTTTTCATACTGCGAGAATGTTCCAACCGGAGAATGGCCCTGCCATAGATACTCGCCACTCCCCTGGGGAAGAGAGGTCATTGGGGTCCACTCATGCACGTGAGTACACTTCGCTTCATTTCATCTCTCTCTCTCTCTCTCTCTCTCCCTCCATCTGTCTCTCCCCGCTCTCCTCTCCTCGTCTCGCGTCTCCTTCTCTAGTAACTCTGACTTGTTTTCAACGTAAATCTCAATCAGTAGATGCACGGCATAAAACTACAAAGAAATCTGTCCTGCTTCGGTCAGTCTCCGTGTGACCGCCCGTTGCCAGCTTCAGTCTCTTCCCTGTAGAGATGTTTACGACAGCAGGCACTAGTTGCGCTTGCTTGGTTCGCCAGGGAGAGGTTTCCCATGGGAGACGACGTAAGCGCTGGAGCGCATCATTGAAATCTGTCCTGCGTAGGATGGAGACCTAGGAGAGAAGGAGGGGAGAGGGATAGAGGAGGGGGAGGAGGTGTAGGAGAAATATGAAACAGGAGAGTGGATGTAAGATAGAGGGTGGAGGTGTGAGGAGATTACATTTCGTTGTCCTGTCCTTCTCAGAGCAATCAAATGTTGATCTGGGGTTCTCTGCGATTGGGCTTCTGCCATCACCATGGAAACTGGAGTGAGAGGAGGAGAGGGATAGAAGGGAGGGGATAGAGGGGGGAGAGGGAAGAGAGATAGCTGGTCTCTATAGAGATGGACTTAGGAGAGGGAGGTAGCGGTGACAGAGGGGAGAGAGGTGAGTGAAAGAACGAGGAGAGGACGAGAGAGGGAGAGATAGAAGAGTAGGGAAGCCGAGGGAATGCACAAAACGATAACCAAGCAGAGACTTCTAGTCATCAGCACACCTTTCGTTTCGCAGGCTTCCATCCGGAGTAGAAGAATTCAAACGTTAACTGTTTCCGTCAGGTCGTCGAAGCGAGCAGCTTGTTAGTTCCATCACATGGAGAATATCGCGTAGCAGGGTCCGCATGGTGGAGCGCTGAAATGATAACCAACTTCAAATGGCCTGGAGCGATCGAAGGGCGGGCGGCCCCAATAAAAACTCTCCCAGGGGGCAATAATTGAGGTGGTCAGACCTCATTATTATGGGGGGCTCAACGGAGCTTCAAGGATATTCTGGAGGCCATTTTGGTGTGATTGCCTGACCATATCTCGGTCCCAGTCCGTGCCGTAGAAATGGGATGGACCCCTCGGCGGGCGCGTTGTGTTCTGAGTGTTGGCGGAGTTTGGGTGGGGGGTAGGTCTCCGGCTAGGAGACGTCTGGCCTGTTTCGCAGCCTTCCCTCGAGAATGGCCTCGCGCATCGACAGGCGGCTTAAGAATAGGTTTGTAACTGAAGGGAAGAGGCTGGTACTAAATAGTGGAAGTTGGTTAATTTGCACACCATGGCACGTGCTGACCAAGTCCCAAACCTTTTCGTTCTTCGGTAAGTTTGTCATTAGTCAAAGCTTTTGGTTTGCAAAGACTTAAGTAAGAA